GGCGCTGGCCTACTCGTTGCGAAGCTGTTACATGTCGACGTCTTATCATGAATCAACGCTCTATATGAGGCTACATATGGTAGAGCACTTCCCTTGTCTAGCTCCTATGACACATCGTTTTTCTGACTTGAGAGTATCTCAATAGCTGGTTCGGGGCCACCTACAACGCGAAATAGTTGATAGAACGGTGCCATCCACCGGTGTTGAAGTGACCAAGAATCGTGATGTTAGAACCGTGATGTTTGATGAGTGACGCCGCGTTGAGTTGGGCAAAACTATACTTGATCGCAATTCTTGAGATATCACACGTGTGCATTTCTCTGCAACGGCGCGTTGTCGCGAGGTGGCGCTTGCCATATCGAGCCGTTGGTCCATTAAAGAAGCGACATGGCAACAGGCCCTCAGGAAGTTGCGGTCCATAGATTGGGTGTAGCTTGCACTATTGATTGCAGACTGGGGGCAATGGCTACCTCTAGTGCTTCAACTTATAGATTCTTCTCGGCAGTGCCCGACCTTCGCCAGTTACTCGAGGCTGACTGATCACTATCCGCTCCGTTCAGATGCTTTAGTTTGCCATGATCGAGGTCCATTACCCGGCAAGGCATTGCTTCTCAGCATCTATACCCATACATTTCATTCAGACAATGCGTATCCCAGTTCAGTCCATGAAAGACGAACCCCGGCAATCCATCGTGAACCAGCGCATCTCAGTAAAGATCCTCAAGCTAGAGATCGAAGTGACCAACGAGTACATTGTTGCCCCTGGATGCGTCAAGCCAAGCGACGTCAAGATGGCGCGCGAGATCTGGCAAACAGCAATGTTCGCATCTGCGTCGTCATCGGCTATCTGTACGCTCTGGATAACTCTGTCATAGGCCGGCTCAACCAGGCCATTGCCGCCTTCAGTGACGGGGCGCAGGAGATCGACCTGATTCCCTCATACGAGGACCTGATAAAATAAAACTACGCGAACATCCGGTGGCAAATATCCTTCATGCAACACGAGGTCAAGATTCGTGAGGCCATTCTTAAAATAGTTTTCGAAAAACGGCTCACAGTCAAAGAAGACCGCACCAAGCTATCCAAGATCTGCCTCGACCGCTTCATCCCCGTTGTAGGACTCATGCTTGAGAGCAGTCTCAAATCATCGATCCCCAGGAGCATCAAGACGTATTGGAGACTGCCATAAACGAGATGAGGGACATCATCCAATACAGAGTCCAGATCAAGGTGGCACCTTTCCTGTTCGACTCAATAGACGTAGTGAGATACATGGCTCAGGGGGCTGTACGAGTCGGTGTTACAGATATACCTCGAATCCTTGATGAGGCTAGAAGTCGTGCTGACAAGGAAGCCACAAATCATGTAGACTGGAGCGCTCGGTTTGTATAAATACGACTCCAACAGTAGAGAGCTTATGATAGGCGTTTTCTTTAGACTTGAAGGCCCAATCGAGGTCCCTGAGCGTTGAACATGCCTGGTAATGGAAGCATACATGTCCCAATATACACCCAGCTGTATCAAGATGAGATATGCCGAAGGAAACAAAGAGAGCCATCACAAATCTACAATGTTTTGGTATGTGATTTTAATAGGTATGCAAAACTTGGCCAGCTCTTTTGGCTCTGGTTCGAACACAGGGTGCTCTGAGACAACACTTTCTCTGGTCAATTTGGCAAAAACATCGCAGAAAAGTCAAATTGCTACATTACTCAACATCAGAGTGGATTTTGCGCCACATCCTCATCTCCTTGCTTACCGAATGTAAGGGAAAGCCAATTGAAATATAAATTGTATCAAAACCATGGCTGCTCAATCCGCTTTCATTAGACTTACACGGTTGTCATCTCGTACATGTTGTCGTCGTTTGAGGAGAATCTGCGATACTCGATAACGAACAAGATAACGTTGTTCTAATGCTCGTCAATCTCATACGACTTTCACAGAGGGGGCTGGAACAATGTAGGTACGGCTGTGGCGTGCCGAGACACTAAATGTATAATGCCATTTATGTATCATTTTCTGATTGCTTTCACGTAAGAGTCACAACTTGAGATATGCAACACATGAAGTGGAAAAGTATTCTGGATGGATGTATTAAAAAAAATGAAGAAGATGTGGATGCTTGCAGGTGCAAGGACAGGTAACGCTACGGCATACATACTGATACGCACAGGAACTGTGGAATATAGACAACAGAAACGAACTTTATTATACCTTGGCTTTCTTACGATGCTGCAAGCCTCACTCTGCAACCTCTCCTATAGTAGAGGTCGCGACGAATAGAATCATATCACACCTTGTGGTGCTGTTGTAGATTGAATGTTGACCCTCCTACAACCTCAAAGGTCGTCGCATTGACAGCTTGGCCATTGACTGTAAACACAGAATCATCGATGGATGTAACCAGTGGTCTTGGAAGTGTCACTGTGCCCTTGGTGCCAGTCGGCGCCTCCACAACCATGGTCAAGAGGCCACCACAGCTGAACTTCCACTCCACGTTGACTTGTCCCTCTACAAGTGGGACACGGCCCTTGGCTGACTTGAGCCCCAGTGTGAGAGGAGCAACACTGAATTCGGACCAACCGGGGTGCGTGGGCATCACGCCAAGCACGTACTTTGTTAGCTCGGCGGTTGGGCCGGCCGCCCAGCCGTGGCATAAGCTTGTACTGAGCCCCAACCCCGGCCGTCCCTCCTCATTCAGGGTTTCCCAGAACGAGCCAGTGTAGTTGGCATTGTTGGTGTCTGCCATCGGGGCCCACAAGCTTCGTAGGAGTTCTAGTGAAGCATCACTGTTACCAGAAGCTAGCGCGGCGCGGAGATGGTACGCCGATGCGTAAGGGCTGATGTACGGCTGGAAGCCTGATGCGATTATCCCACTGGAGAAAGCCATTGGTCCTGCAGGTCTTCCAAGGTCTTTCGACAACGTTGACAGAATGATCTCGGAGGAGTGAGCGGGATTCTTGTTCACCCCAGCTAAGATGGCGATCGCGTTGGAGTCCTGGCCGAAGCCATTGGTGTAATCAGCTGAGAAGTAGTAGGCTTGTAGATCATCGCTCCAGAGTTGACTGTCGATGGCATCGCGCAGAGAATCGAGTCGCTCCTGATATATCTTGGCGTCCACACCACCATCCGCGAGGAGCGTCAAAGACTCTTGCAGGGAATAGGCATAAAGAACGTTGAACTTGGTCGATACGCCGGGTTGGGCAGGATCGTAGTAGTTCCAGTCCCCAGCAAACGACGCCTCTGATACGTTGAACAATCCGTTCTCGAGTGTTTGGGAGTCGGCCCAGTCCAGCATCTTTTGAACCTTGGGTGCCCACTTTTGCGCGAAGCCGACATCACCAGTGTGCAGGTAGGTTGAAGCAACTGCAGTGACAAAGTTGAACGAATATCCGATCAACCCGGTGACGTTGATATTGAGCTCTTGACTGAGAGGAGCCTGCTGAATCTTGGCCGTCGGGATGAAAAAGCCAGGGGTAGTTTGATAAGACCCAAGCAGGTCAAGTGATCCGATGATATACTCGAGGCCATGGGTGCTCACCAGGGCAGCGCCACCAGCAACATCAAGATCTCCGGTATAAGCGATGCGGTCTCGGCGCGAGCCGTCTACTATGGTGCTTGCTGGATTGGTGCCCATGAAGAAGTCTGCCAAAAACGAGCTGTCTGTCAGAGGATGAGAGTAGATCTCTTGTCCCTCAGCAGATACAGCGGACAGATCCTTGAAGATCGCTCGATGACCAAACGATGCTCCGAGGCCAAAGGAGCCGAAGAATCTAGTGGTCTGTGACATCTGTACCACCTGTACACCGTTGATAGAGACGCTGATATCTGTCACTGCCACGGTGGCAGTAACTGTGCTCCATGAGCCGAGGGCAAGAGTTATATTCTTGGGCAGGTCGAAAGCCTGCAGCAGGAGGTTCTCGCTTGTTGATCCCGCGTGCGCCGTGATCTTCCCGCTGGAGATATCGCACGAGAAGTAGATACCAGAGCTCAGGGTGTCTGCCAGGACAGTAAATCCAAAGCCGCCAACGACAGGCTTGACACTGAATTGAAGACTATACATTAGAGACTGTGCGGCTGCGGCAGATCCGAGGCTCTGCGGAGCCAAGCTATCCACGAGAGCGCCTTCCGGAGTGACTTCCCAGAAATCGGGGACCGTGTCTGCTGGGATTTCAGTCATCTGGATAGTTCGTGCGCCAACACTCCAGATATCGTTGATAGTCTTGTCGGAGCTTTCAAAAAATCCCGGCAATTCGGTCAAGGCGGTTGTGTGAATGGTAGGGCGGGCGCCGACGTTCCTCACTGAGAGGACCCCAGGCGAAGAGAGGTTGAGCTTCTGGTATCTGAAAGCGCCTTGGACAAGACGATTGGATACCTTGCCGGGTCCACTGATGTTGTAACGATTGACACGAAAAGTATCCATAGCTGCAGCCAGCGGCAGCGGGCCATCGCTCTGAGATCATCAGTATCAGAAGTTCCTGAGGAACAAGAGGCGGTGAGCATGGCACCTACCATGTACGAATCGAGAGCAGCTTTACTTTCGCCGTATGTGATCTCGAAGGTCGACGTATCGCCCTCCACGCTGACGACGTCGAAAGCTGGTATGCCCTCCACACTCCACCCATAGTCTAAAATCACTACCGCCGATGAGCCAGTAGTGGCGTCTAAAGTTGTGATTTCTGCTGTGCTCGTGATGAACTCCGTGGTGTCTCTGGAGCTGGGGGGCTCCCGCGCTGCCACAGGTTGAACTCTTGCCACTGTTCGGCCATGTGCCAGGGCCAGGAGGGCCAAAGAGGGTAACAACGACTTGTAGGAAGGCATCATTGCTTGTTAGTGTTAGACATCACGAGAATGAATCTGATGGTAACGGCGAGAGAAGGTGTCTTTAAAGAGCGACTGGCATAAGCCATGCAACTCTAGCGCACCCCACCCATGACGACAACTATATCCAAGGCGACTAGCGAAATGGCAGCCCATTTCCAAGCCTCGGATACCTGGTTTGGTGACTTTAAAATTGTTTAGCTCGAGTGGTCTCGATTTCAACACGTGCCGATCCTAATGAGGGACTGGGAGCCACCCGAGATGATTTATTAGTACGAGGGGAAACCCTGTAGTTGTCGAAGGTGCCTCCGGACGTGGGGCGGGCGCTTGGGGCTTTTGCGGGGGCCGGCATATCATCTACCGAGCCGAGTTTTGGGGAAACTGTACGAGAAATTACGAGCTCAGGCCGAACAAACCCCAGAGAGCTCGGGAGGTGAACCCGAGTCGTTCAGCGCTCCCCCGTTGCATCCAGTGGCGGTGCATTTGAACTTGGGTTACGCATTGGAATCTCAATTGCGGCTATACCTGGATTCGCGTGATGCCGAAGGTTGTTGTTTCAATAACTTTCAGTTTTCAAAGGCCTCGACATGGTTCACCAATATGACCGTATCATTTCTAATAACTCAAGCGCTCCTCTAAGCTAACAATGCCTCCACACCCACCCTAGAGCAAATCTCTCTAGAACTCAGGCCAACACAACGTGGGTAGTCGAAGCACGGCGGCATATCTACTACCAGCCTTGTTGATTCAACATCCAAGCCGCGCAAATAATAATCATGTCTTGTTCAATTCCACCTCGGTCGGGGAGGCGCGCAATTCTCAAGCTTTCACTCGTCAACGTTGCAGCGATGGCACCAGTATGCCTATCTACGAGTTCAAAAGCTCGTTGTTCCTAAATTGGTATCAGCTTCTAGACAAACATGAGTGGTCACTTGAAGAGATTATAACCTTGACTTGTTTTATCCACGACCCGACGCACTCACGCCTCGTATTTTCAATGAGGTCGTAGAGGCCATCTCCAATCTTATAGATTTCCAACTCGTTGCTGTTCGTCCTCAGCGTTGCGTCAGGTTGGATGCTGGCCATTTGGTGCGTCACTAAGCTGAGAGCTGCCGTGATGGATGATGTATGCACACTGTCTTCACAGGCTCGCCTGGCAGGGCTCATATGTTTCCCGATGCTATTTCTGACCATGATGAGATTTGGAAAAGAGTTTCTTGAGCAAGCGAAGCGTGGAAGTTGCGGACAAAGTCGCGATGCAAGAGAACTTAGAGACATGATGTCTATTGTCTCAGTCAGATCGCCGTCAATCCCGTAGCATTGCATCTGAGTCTGCAGAGCGGGCCGTAGGCAAGATTTCCGTTTCTTGACAGGTTTCGCCAAATAGTATACCTCGTCCATTGTGGGCTGTGTTTCCGCATTTACGCATCCAACGGAATAGCTTTGGCTACCACGCTGGCCCTACAGATGGGGCTGGCTTTATTGTATCTGTTGGTGCCATTGACTTCTTCACCGACGTTCTACATTATTGTATTTCAACCAACTTTGTTTGATTCTGCTTGATGGCGCAGCTCATCTGCGCCAAGCAAAGGCGACCTGTGCTCAGGTGCTAGCTAACCCGAATGAATGCTCGCAAATGTTTGTTGTTCGGGCAAACGTGCTCCATCCGAACTAATACGATCCAGTGTAGTAGAGTTCTAATCGCGCATTTGATCTCAATCTCCCATGGCTAATAAATCGAGCAAATGTTGCTTTAGCGGCTTCCAGGTTACTATGGTACACACAGTACATCTAGGTCCGACACTTCTTGGCTCCTCGGAATCAGGGTGGATCGGTTCAACACGCAGTACCACATAAGGCTCGTATTCGCTCGGATTCGGGTGTGCTCTTAAAAATCTCGTCGCCGGTGCACCCCAGGTTGATTTCACGTGTCGGAGATAATCGTGGATTCTCATGGAGAATATGAAAGCGATTTGTTGCCAGCAGCGGTCCCGACAGCGACGCGACGAATTGTAGGGATGGCCTCCGTGTTAAGCAGAGCGATTGTTCTTGGTGTGTCCCGTAAGGCTAGGAGAATCATATCGTTAGTTTTTCTTTTGGGCCCGCAGCCGGCCGGTAGTTACCTTGTACCATGAGTTATGCTTGACCCAACCTGGCAAGATGATAATGATAGATGGACCTACTACAAGGTTACAATTACACGATAGGCTTACCAACCAGTCGACTACCCGCCTACGTGAATTTCCCCTTGACACGAGCTTCCCCAGAACTCCGTTGCGAATGTGCCCAGCATTGTCCAGCAGAAACGGCTGGTTCAGGCATCCGTCCTTCTCATTGAATGCGTGTGCATGCCCTGATGCGGAGATATTTCAGGGGGCTCAACCTCGGGAACTAGTGATTCAGATACCTAACTTACCTACCTGCTTAGTTACTGAATCAGGGATGCTGTGCCCCACCATTCTTGGTTCATGACTGAGGACACAGGCTGACTGGGAAGGCTATCCGCTAACTAATACTGTAGATTGCGTAACTGTTCGGGCCGTGGAAACTCCTCTATCATCAACGGCAACACCCCTTCCGTGGACTATGAGTCGCGCCAGTGGATGAGCCGGAAAGTCAACGCCACTCTGAACATTATAATAGAAGTCTTCTAGAAGATGACCAGTTTTTTTTTATCCCGTTCTCCACCTTCCATGTATGCCGAGCAAATTTTCTTCGCAAGTCGTCAATCCAAAGTCCAGTGTAAAGCCTGCAGCCTACTCCAGCACTGACTTATGTTCCATTTGATTCAACTTGGTCATGAACGAACCTCCTCAAAGGCGTGCAGGCCTTCGCATATATCGCCCAAGGACAATATGTTGGTTTCGCAAGACTGCACAGCCCTGAAAGCCATTCGTCTATGCGGGAACGAACACATGTAGCAAACGTGGCCAAGGCGTGTGTACTATAGTACACAGCAAACGTAAAATGTGTGCAAGGTGGCAGTGTTCCCCTTTAACTGTATCCATCCATTCTCTCTCCCGTTTGCTTGCGGATGTGCCAGGGTCAAGGCTTAAGGGCCAGGGGCTTGTGGAGCTATCAAGGGAAGTTGAAGCCCGCCTAAATAAGATTGCTCCACGGTCCCGAGCGAACCCGAACAGACTGCCAAAGTTTGCCGAGTCTGCTGCGCAACTCGGTCGATGCCGAACAGGCTGCGCATGGCGCTACCTACGGTAGCCCTTACTCGTCGGGGCAACCTGCGGCGCCTCCGGTCATGCTGCCCCTTGCGAATTTCTGAGGTCCCTGAATTCTGTAAGTCTTTCTTTGGGAACGGCAGCCATGGGTTTGAATTCAAATATCAACTGGCGTCGCTTTTAGCTGGGTGGCTCGACGAACCACACTCTTTCGTTCCAGACATCTCGACTTTTTCTGACACTACTTTCCTTTATCATTCCGTCGCTACCGTGGTCGATCAATTACAGCTTCTGACCCCTGTCATTCATTGTAACCCCAAACCTCACTCTAGCTCGCAATGTCAGCTTCCGGTGATGATAGCGATGCTTTCTTCGCTCTCTACAGATACACGCCATCCCTCGAGGCCGCCGCTCTCACGGGAACGCTTTTCTCGATACTGTCGATAGCCCATATTGCAAAACTGTGGACGACCAGATCCTTTTACTTTATACCCTTCGCCATAGGGGGTGTCTGTATGTTTCTCCAATGTTTAAATGCAACTGTGTTCAATGCTGACCGCTTCCCCGGTAGTCGAGGCTGTAGGCTATTATGGTCGCATCTGGTCACACTTTGACAAGAATGCCATCGGCGGATTCGTTGTGCAGTCTCTGCTTATCCTTGTGGCCCCCGCTCTTTTCGCCGCTTCGGTATACATGATCCTTGGGCGCACGATCCGAGCTCTTCACGCAGAGCATCACTCAATTATACGCATTCAGTGGCTTACCAAGCTCTTTGTGATCGGAGACGTCGTGTCCTTCTTTGCTCAAGGCGGCGGCGGTGGAATCCAGGCGGCGGGGACACTGGAGCTGTACGAGTTGGGAGAAAAGATTATTCTCGTCGGCTTGTTTGTCCAAATTGTTATGTTTGGTATATTTATCGTCTGCGCGGTCATTTTCCACCGCCGCATCGTTCTGCGACCCACCACGGAGTCTAGAGAAGGCACGATTCAGTGGAAAAGCCATATGTGGGCTCTCTACTGTGTGAGTTGCCTCGTTATGGTGCGCAGTGCATTTCGAGTGGTCGAATATGCGCAAGGGAACGCAGGCTATCTTGTCCGGCGGGAGTATTTCCTATACCTTTTCGACGCCGCGTTGATGCTTGTAACCATGGGAACGTTCTTGGTACAGTACGTAGATGACCTGAACCCGGCATCCCGTAAGTTCTCAACAGTCGTGATGGAGGATTTAGGACAGTAGATATTGTCGTTCAAGAAAGGCATGGAAGAACATGCATGATATAATAGAACGGAGCCACATCTCAATGCCTGTATCTTGGTCTCGATCCAGCCTCAAAATGACTTCGAGCAGAAAGCGCCATCCCTCATATGAACAAGACTCATGTTCCTTTCAATATTCGTAACTGGTGCAGCCAAGCTGGCTCGCTCATTATCCCTGTTCGGCAAGTCGGCCAGTCACAGGACTTTGAGGTAGCGCAGATCCAGGACAGCGTACACAGTAGGGGGCCTTCACCCCCTCCTCACCATCCCCCGCCATCATGTATGCTGGGCCCGCTAGATGCTGTACCCCACAGAGGCAGCATTCGGGCCCCTGCGGCGACAGGGTTCATAATGCGGAGAAACGAACAAAACTACACCACCCGCCCAGTGGACGCTTGGAAGACCTGGCCAGACATACCTTCATCCCTCCGGTTAGCGATAAGCCCCGATTCATCAACACCATGCCCGCTAACAACTCAACAAGTTCCACTGGTGATAGCATCCATTGCGAGCTCACTGGCACCGATACAACTATGGCAGATGCGCCCCAAAGGCGAGCTTCGACTGGTGCTGCCGTTGGTGATGAGGCAAAAAGGGCACGCAAGAGGGCGACGGATCGAAAATCCCAGCAGAATCATCGTCGTCGGCAAAAGGCCTACGTGAAGCAGCTTGAAGATTCCATGCGAGCTTTCGAGCGCCAGTGTGCTGCGAATCCAGATGGAAGAGCTGCTGCACTCGTCGAGGCCCACAAGAAATTGGAGCAACGCTTTGAAAAGGCTGCATCACTTCTAGAACGTGTGCGTGGCATCTTGAATGATAACTCGGAAGACTACTCGCTCCCCGGGGCATTTGCAACTGGAACAGAAGACGACGATAACCAACCATGCAGGCACTGGGCTGATGGCCTGGATGGTCTAGATTGTCTTGACAGCCATGATAATCACGATAACGGCACGACATCGTCCATGCACCCGTCAAATAGTACGGCATCCATCACTCATATTGACACCCAACCCTTGAGTACGTCACCGGAGGTACAAATCAATACGGAGACCTACTCGTCAACAGTCCTTGACCTTCTCTCATGCGGGTTGGACATGCCAGATTCATCAGAAGCACTTGCCCTGGAGCCTAGCACCGAGACAACCCAGGGATCTGGAGAAGATGATAGTCAGATCGATCCTAGTTTCTGCTTTGGGGCTATCAATGTCCCGGTTCACTATCCAGAAACACTGCTCAGTGGCGATAAAGGTTTTGAGCTTTGCCAAGCCAGCGATGTCGCTGTCGCCTCCGCTGTTGACCCAGCATCTGCGGTTAATGTTCCGTCAACGTCCAGTGTCCTCACAAAAAGCATAATATCCATTGACTGGAATAGATGGCCAGCTCTAGCGCTTTATGCTTACGGACCTCGACATTCCCCGCCGGAAGGGACGGGTGCCAAGGTTTTGGAAAACATGGTATTGGAAGCAAAGGCTGAGCATGCGAGCGGGCGTTTCAGCCAGGCGAAGCCATCCCTTCGACGACTACTGACGGACGGCTCAGGAGACGTTTTGGCATTTCGCCTGTTTCATTACCTGAGCTGTTACGGCGAGATGCCTCTGCATCTGTTCCTAGGCATATTTTGGGTGCAGTACCTTGTGCTAAGGGTAAGCCTGTGTTTTCTTTACGCGTGGTACTCCAGGAATACCAGGTCCTCATGCATTTTGTTGATACACAGTCCCAGTGGCAAGTACTCAATACCGAGGAGGATTACACCAGAATCCCACAGTTCATGAGACCAGACTCCATCGAACGGCAAATTCCACACAGTATAGTAATTGATCTTTTCGTCTGGTAAGCTCTCACCCATCTCTTCGCGTTGGCCGCCTTGCACTAGACTCTTCTCCAGGCCAGATTTGAGGCACGCGCTCATCAAACAATGCGCGGATTTGGATGCCGAGGCTATTGGAATGGATTTGGTTAAGCATCTCAACTCGTCTTGGTCACCCTCTATTTCTTTAAGTAGCGGGCTGCAAGGATCGAACAATCTTGTGGCAAGCATCGATATCATGCACATCATTGAGCGTCAGGCTGCCTCTTGGGAATTTTGGACAATAGGCCCTGGTTTTGCTCGTCAGCATACACAGTTCACCCATTGTCAGCTGCGATAGCTTATATATAGTCACAATACATGTCATAGAGCGGGGCCTCTTGGCTGCAAATCCTATCATCAGTCAAAGCTCCCATCATGCTGAGCTTGGGTGGTAGGTTTGCGCTGTGTTATGTCATGCAGAAGAACAACACAGTGTCAACCAACTTCGACTGTTCTATTCTCACAGCAAACACCAAATGGCATACATCGAATCTCTACCGGCGAAAACCCTTGATGAGGAACCCCGAAACCAGCTCCCATGCCTCCTCAACGTTATTCTTCTGGTAGCCTTTGTTGCCCGGCTTGTAGTGAGTGAACCCGTGGTTTGCCCCCTCAAACTCCTTTACAGTTACGTGCACGTCAGCGTCGCTCAGTTTCTCGGCATACGCGTGCGCCTCCAGTTTTAGACAATCCAGACCAGCAAGCGCAAATAAAGTGGGTGGTAATTGCGGTGCGATGGATCGTAGCAGGTCCGCCTCAGCACTAAGTGGAGCAATGAAGATCTGCTCCTTGTTGATGTATGGTGGGAGATAGGCTGCCTCCATCATCTCCGCAACCCAGACAGGCAAACTGAGTTCCTGCACTCTCCGTTCCGAGCTCATGTATCGGGCTCCGTAGCGATCATTCAATGCAACGCTAGGATACAATAAGATCTGTGCGACCTGCCGAAATGTCGCCGGTAACCCTTGGCGGAACACGGCGCAAGGCCCCGAAGTGAATGCGCAAAGCAAGGAAAGCGATGCTGCCAGATTTCCACCGGCCGAGTTACCCATGACCGCAACTCGTGTTGGGTCGATGTCTGCACCTAACTTCTTCTTCGCTTCGGGGCTTAGGGCCCACCGTAGAACCTCGTAGACTTGGAGAAGTGCGTGTGGATATGGGAACCGAGGCGCTTTGGCGTAGTCGACTGATATGACAACAGCCTTTGCCTACGATGTCGAACACTCAGTCTCATTGCGTATGAAGGGGCTTAAGAATGGCTAATACCTGGTCACTAATCATGCGCGACTGTTGTTCGCCGTCATTCGGTTCGCCAAGGACGAAACCGCCGCCTTCCATTACGATGACGACCGGCAGCGGCTCCTGGTAGTCACCTCGTGGAAGACACACGGAACAAGCGACACTGCCATGCCCTAAGCCTGGTGATGCAACTGTGATCCGCTGAGAAAATCTGCGACCATTTCCGGACAATTGATGTACCAGTTGTCGCATGACCCACGAGCCAATCTGAAGATACAGAACGTAGTACCACGGATAGCTTCTCCCGTGCGTGATGCGAGGTATTTGAATCTGATCTTGCTCCATCATGCAGCGCTGGGGATAGGGCCAAGATGCTAGACTCGCCCAGATGATTCAGGAGATGCTGGGGAATGATTCTCCGAGGAAATTGAGCAACTGCAACACTGGAATTCGCGGTCTCTAGCAACTGGTTTCTAGGTTTACCCGAGCTGTACTTTTTGCAGAGAAACAGGTCACATAAAGGTAACTTATCAGGGCGGATTTGGGGGAATTCGTCGGTCTAACCCAGGGTGTGCTGCGGCGGGGCTGGAGAACAATTTCTTGGCTGGAGCAGCCGATTATTCGCTGTTGACCAACTGTGGCCTTGTGCGCCGACCCCTCAATGGATCTGTTGAGGCAGGTACCTGCATAGCCCAAGCTCTACTTACAGCCAATCTCGTGTTACGAAAACGCCAAGCACCTACCACACACTTGACTGACTAAGGTCAACTGACACCTGCGCGGGAATGCTGTTACCCGGAACATGCGATCTTGACAGAGCGCCACCTTGTGGATGAGATGCTCGTCTTTGTCTCAATGCTGACTACATGATGTGAGGTCAGACCCGATCAGGTATATTTGTTGACCGCCTGTGAAGAATCTACTCTTGTCCGTTCGCTTAGCCTTGGGTGCAGGTTACAGAAAGACCATTCCCTCTTCCATCTCAATAGCACATTTTGTGGTTGCCACCAAACCCCCCACCCCCAGAAGAAGACGAAAAGAGGACAGGGAGCCAAAAGAACAATTTCCGGCATGGCCACTATCGGAGACGCCCCCGTTGTCATGGCCGCCGACTCTGCCTCTTCTACGCAACCAATGATGAACGGCGCATCAGGCGCAACATCAGGCAGTAACGGCGTTTCTGGAGAGCGCAAATTCGAATTGCTTCAACAATGGCATTCTGAGCCGAGAAAGATACGCATTGTACACGTGGGAGCTGGTGCAACCGGGTTGTGTGCAGCCTACAAGATGGAGAGGCAGTTAGAGAACTATGAGTTGGTCTGCTACGAGAAGAATGATGAAATCGGTGGAACCTGGCTGGAAAATCGCTATCCTGGCTGCGCATGCGACGTCCCTGCACATATATACACATACACGTTCGAGCCAAAATGGGATTGGAAGTCCTACTACGCGTACTCGCCGGAGATCCATGACTATTTCATGAATTTTTGCAACAAGTACAACTTGAGAAAGTACGTCAAATTGCAGCACAAGGTTGTGGCTGCAGTCTGGCACGACGAGCGAGGCCAATGGGAGGTCACCGTCGAGCATAACGGCAGCACATTTACCGACTGGTGCGAGGTTCTTGTCAATGCTTCTGGCCTCCTCAACAAATGGCGGTGGCCGAACATCTCGGGGCTGGCGACTTTTAAGGGCAATTTGTTGCACTCTGCATGCTGGGACCAATCTGTTGACTATACGGACAAGAAAGTGGCTGTGCTGGGAACAGGATCTTCAGCCATCCAGATCTTGCCACAGGTCCAGAAAACAGCTTCACACGTGAAATCATTCATGAGGGGCACGACATGGATCTCGCCTCCTATGCCACGGGTTCCTGTTGACGTTCCCAACGCGGAGAATGCAGGAGATGAGCACTTGGACCCAGATGTTGCGCAGTATTGGTACAAACCGCAAGAGATGGAAAGGTTTCATGACGACCCCGAGTACCTGCTTCATTACCGCAAGCAGATAGAATTTGCCATCAACCGGGGCTTCGCGCTTTTCTACAAGGATAGCGAAGCCTCCAAGATGGCCGAAATGTACATGCAATCCCAAATGAAGCGGCGCCTCAAAGACGACCCCGTTCTCACCAAGAAGATGATCCCGACCTGGCCTGTTGGGTGCCGACGTTTGACACCAGGCGATGGGTATCTCGAAAGTCTCACGCAGCCGAATGTGGAGTGTGTCTTCCAAGATATCATCAGCATCGACGAAAACGGCCTCCGTACTGAAGACGGAGTGCACCATGAGGTTGATATTATTGTCTGCGCCACCGGCTTCGACATGGCGTGGACACCGCATTTCAAGCTTCTGGGACAAGGTGGACGAGATATCCGCGATGCGTGGTCACCGCTCCCGCAGTGTTACTTGGGGATCGGTGCGCCTGGTTTCCCCAACTACTTTGTTATGAACGGCCCCAGAGGCAACTTGGGCAACGGCACTGTTCTTCCGTGTCTTGAGACCGAGCTCGAATACGTCATTGCTGCTGTAAAGAAGATGCAGACGGATCGCATCAAGAGCCTGGATGTTCGTGCTGATGTTACAGATCAGCTCAACGAATATATTGATGCGTGGCACGAAACTAGCGTTTTCAGCGCTGACTGCAAGAGCTGGTACAAGAACAACACCAAAGACGGCAAGGTCATGTGCTGGGGTGGCTCCGTAAGTTCCTGGCTTATGCAACAGTGATTGGCACTCTTTCTAATTTTCGACTTGCGCAGTCAATTCACTTCCTCAAGACTCTCAAAACACCGCGGTGGGAGCATTGGAATATCCAATATATGGACGGCAACCCTTGGGCTTTCCTCGGAAATGGAAGAATCAAAGCCGAGGTACAAGATGACTTTGACGGTATGACGCCGTACCTGAGAAACGAAGATGGTCCATGGGATATTGTGTAAATTAGCGGGAGGGGTAGTGGGTCATGGCCGAACGCAATTGCTCCACAGCGGAATGCTATAAGCGGTAGATTGCCTATTCGTCGTCAGGTGTTATCAAGTTTCCAGTAGGGACCGATGTCATTGGCTATCGCTGTTGAGTCTATGCTATGGCTTATTCAAGTATTTGAGCTGTACAATGTGATCTTCGCCATCGAAACCAGACTGAACCTCTGCTTTAGCAGCACCAGTCTCGTTCTCGAAACCAAGTAAAAGACAGTACCAAGTCATCTCATCTACATCAACTGCGTAAGCCTGTCTCTCGCCGGTTGCGGTCCTTGGAGCATTGGTCTTCATAACCTTTCCGTATGCCGCCTCTGGCGTGGCACCCTCCTTCTTCTCGTCCCAAACGAACAACCTGATCCAAGCTGTCTCAATCATCCCTGGCTCCCCAAAATCATAATGTCGCACCAGCGGACGGCCTGGCACGAATAATTTGTTGATGGTGCTGATGACCGGCTGGAATCCGGGTGTCTGCCAGAACTCCCAATGGTCTTGGATTTTGTCCCAGTCGAGCATCCAGACAAAGGTTTCAGGATCGTCCTTGGAGAACCCCCAGCTTACGCGCCGGATGCCTTTCGCATAAGGTTTTCCCGGCGCCGTCTGCTCGATAATCTGCGATTCAAACTCGGCAGCGGCTGCAGCATGGTCTGTAGCGAAGGCCGGGTTCAATTTGAAAACCGCGATCTCCGTGACAGGCTTGTCCTGCGCCGACGTGTGAGAGATGAGTCGCTGCGTGTAGGCAGCCATTTCCTCTGCGGTCGCCATCTCGAAATGCGGTGCTGCACAAGATTTGGGAAGCGGCTGCGAAAAGTCTATACTCAGAACGTCATCTAGGACTGTTAACCTGATAATAACTTCGGTGCCTTCGGTGGATCTTCAAGATCCACCCTAACCTTGACCTAGTAGAATGTGAATCGTGGGGAAAAGACGTTGTCAGCTTGCCTTTGTCAGTTGGGTCGTGTTCGGGCCCAGGCAGCGGGGCTCTAAATCAGTATTCCCGGGAAGATCGTATTCGGCAGGATTCGGGTGACTCCACTCACGCGCTTCCACCGAACCATGAAGCTCATGTTTGGTCATTGTGGATCGAGAGGAGGAGCACCGATTACTCCCCGTGGCCGCCGGCATGAGCATTGCCTAGTCATACGGTCTTCTGAGCCGAGATCCAAAATGTCAAGGTATATGAAGTCGCTCGTTACCACATTCTGACGAGTTGTTTAGTTGTGCCCTATCTTGGCTAGTCTCTACCTACGTCTGCCGTGCAGCCATATCATGAATCAGCAATCGCTTGCAGGAAAGTCGGTGGTCGTGACGGGGGCCGCCGGGGGACTAGGTAAGGTTATCGCCACAGCTTTCCTGGACGCAGGCGCCAATGTGGCTGTCTGCGACGTCAATGAAGATCGTCTTTCACAAGCCAGAGCGGACTGGGAGGGTTTCTCGACCAGAGTCCTGGTCTGCAAGGTCAATGTGACGAAGAGCGAAGAGGTGCAGCGCTTCTTCGATGACGTGGTAGCAAAGTTTGGCCGTCTCGATATGCTCATCAATAACGCCGGCGTGATGGATGCATTTGACCCTGTCGGGTCAACCGCCGAGTCGATGTGGGATCGTGTCATATCGATCAACCTCACTGGCACTTTTATCTGTACCAAGGCCGCTGTTACTGCAATGGAAGCCCAATCTCCCTCTGGAGGCGTGGTGATCAGTATCGGATCCGTTGCTAGTTATCGTGGCGTCAATGCTGGCGCAGCCTATACCGTCAGCAAGCACGGCATGCTCGGGCTCATGAGGAACACCGCTGGCTACTACGGAGAGAAAGGCATATTCTCCCTGGCTCTGCTCTTGGGTGGGATGGATGATACACATATTAGCGAGGTAAGCCATCGCAGCCTCCTTGCTTCTGCCGACGATTTATATCAGGCGCTGACGCTTCATTAGAGTTTCTTGAACGGTCCATTCAACCAAGAAGGCATGATGAAGATTGGTGCCGTCAATCCGGGGTATGTGCCAGGGAAAACCAATATTCCTTTAACAGATGTTGCCAAGTACTGCTTATTCTTTTCCGACACGAACCTGGCCGCTGCATCCAATGGGGCGGCTATCACTGTAAACAAGAACTGGCCAGAAGCATAAGAAAAGGGATGACCTATAGATACAGACGTTGTAAGAGAAACCATTTATATAACAGGGCAAAAGTTGTAGCTGGTGTACCAGCCCACGGCTATTCATTTTATAGAGGCGTTCACAACTGCTTTCTTGTCTTGTTCAACCGTATTAGTACCTTTAGAAGTGGTGAAACTCAAGACAATACAAGACTGTCTCAATTTCATCTAATCTAACATATATGTTTTCAGTACACTATGGGCAATGTCCAAAGGGTACTGTTATGCACGCCCCAGGCAAGCCAGGATGGGAAGGGGTGCACCAGATCCCCATTGCCCGTTAGTCAGCCAAGCGGATGTCACGCCAGGGGATCCCCCATGTTCCTTCATCCCCACCGTCCAGTGATAGGCGGGCTATTGTCCATTAGCAGCAGCCCTACGAAAGTGTGACTATTTAAATGCAACCTACATTCCTTTCATTATCATGCGTCGAGTAGATTATCATCTCAAGAGGGTTGGGGTATTTTGTTCATTTCCCTTCCATTCCCGCATTCTCTCACCTCTGTGTCCAGCTCTACCCTACCCCCAACGTCATTTGGGTGTCTCTTCATACCATGGCAGCCAATGTGACAGGATCCGGGGCTCTACCCATACTGGGTGCGGCACATGTGCCTCCAGTGACTATGTATCAAGTTTTGCTCGTGGTGTTCCTAGGATATCTAGCCGTGAACAGATATCAGTACTGGGCGAGGACGGTAAGTCTTTTGAGGAACTGAGAATGTCTACCCCGCCCTCTGTACCTTCCGTTACCGATAGCGACTACTGACAATACGGGCTCATGCAGCCAAAAGTAATGCCTCTAGGTTTTGCGCCACTGCCCTTCATTGGGCCCTGGATTGGCGCCGTCAGGATCTTACGGAACCCTAACAAATTGGTACGCGAGGGAATGGCGAAGTCTAAGAACGGCCTTTTGCGGATAGCGACGATACAAGGGGAATATGTCTTGGTGACAGACAGACACAAGGTTGCCGAATACCTGAAAGCGCCCGATAGTGTTCTAAACGCCCAGGACGGATCCAACGATGTAGGTCCTTGGAACTATGGCACTCTAATTTGTAGACCTTTGAGCTGACCCAGCGTCTTGCACTGCAGCAACAGCAAATCCCCTTTACGATGGGTTATGGAATTGGCCACCGTACCTACCACACTGCTGTTGTTCGAGGCCCCATAACTCAAAGCATCAATGCTTGGACTCCGCTCCTAGACGACGAGTGTGGCCTTGCCTTTGATGACTTGATCCGTTGTTCAGTCGGTTAGACATCCTGTAACCGAAGGCCGATCGGGTTCATACTGATATCCTGGGCAGACTATGAACCAATCTCACTTTACGACACCATAGCTATCACAGTAGGGCGCATGGCTAACAGGATCTATGTTGGCACTGAATTCTGTAAGCGATATGAATATTTCGATACGTCACGCGATTTGTCTTTGTCTAATCTAGGCCGGACCACGTATAGGTCGAAATGAAGAATATCTCACGAACGCGGCTGATTACGCTCAAGCTGTAGTTATCACAGCAGAGCTGATCAGACCTTTCCCTGACTGGCTTAAGCAGTAGGAACTTCCCTTTTCTTTTCCTGCCACGCAAACAAGCCGGCATACAAATGTTCATGGCAGTGGTGCTAACAATCTGTCAGTATCTTGATACGATTCATGCCAGTCATGCGCCATCGCAAGAAGGGAGAGAGCTTCCTCCGGACCTTCATTCAAGAAAGATTAGACGGAAAGCTAGACGAATTCGGGCAAAAGCCCACTGACCTCGTCCAGAGACTCATTGATGCTGCGCCTCCCATTGAGAAGACCGTCCCGCAGCTTGCAGAGCGGGTTATGGCTCTCAATGTAGCCTCGATACACACAACCACTATGGTAAGTTGCAATTCGAATCTACAGAGACGCGACAAAGACTGATACAATCTACGCCAAACTCCAGACATTTACCAGCGCCTTGTATAGCCTAGCTGCGGAGCCCGAGAAGTATGCGGAAGTTCTACGAAACGAAGTATTGGAGCACCTCGAAGACGGACAGATCACTGCGGGAACGCTCGCGAGTCTTCCAAAGATGGACAGCTTTCTGAGAGAATCTGGGAGGTTCAACAATGCAGGGCTAAGTAAGGATTACAAAATCGATTCCCCTTTACCCCATCTCGACACGTACTTCTCCTAGCTGACCGACTGCTGACATGGGGCTTGAACAGTGGCGATGCAAAGGAATGCAAGGAAAGAGTTCAAGTTCAGTGACGGCACTGTAATTCCACCAGGCGCAAAGGTCGGCGCCGTCACACTGGCTCTTCAGCGGGATCCCGAGGTTTTCGAGAACCCGGATGTGTTCGACGGCTTTCGTTTCTACCAAGCAGAGCCGTCAGAAACCAAGCCGAGCACCATGGTCAATACTGGCACCAACTTCCACCTCTTTGGCCACGGACGGCATCCATGGTGAGTCTGCCCACAGAGAAAACTTTGGGCAAAGCTAAATCTGGGAACACACAGCCCTGGACGATTTCTCGCGGTCCACGAGATGAAGATCATGTTTGCGAAGCTTCTATTGAGATACGACTGGAAACTTGCACCGGGTACGAAACCGGAGCCCTTCTTCATCGCCACTATGTGCATCCCGGACACGAAGCTCAAGGTGTTGTTCAGAAGAAGGCAGCAATGATAGACTGGTGGTGGCAATCAGGATCGCAATGTTCCCGCATGGTCATGAGCACCGCGACTTGTAGACTCGCTACTATCGTTTGAGGCAAAGCGGACGCTCTGGCTGGCCGAAGCAGAACAGTGCTGTCACCCTTGTTGACTCAATACACAGTGCAGTACATACAATAGTACCATAGTTGCAGTACCAATTTGCGGTTCAGCGGGGCACCGCGACAAGACCCGAACACGAGCGAGTACGATAGCCACCCGAGAAACACCTGCAGCCTTGGCAATCGTTAGCGCTTCAGATGCTACTCCACCAGCTCCACAGCCAGTAGCTTAATCCAGACCCTTGTCATTATGCCTTGTCATGTTCCCCCATGTCTCTTGTGAGTGAAGACTCGGATAACTCCCGAGACCCGCTCACCGCGCCCCAAGCCGCAAAATTGCCCAGATCATAGCATGCCACACCCAGTACCTACATGCTGTTACTGCAGGCCTGGGACGCTCCCGAGAGTATCGAACCCGAAGTCACTGGATTTGAGATTGGCCGAGTCCGCTCGTATCGTCAGTCGGACCTGGAATTGCGGGAATGAATCGGGGCTCAATGCTGCGTGCGGCATCAAGAAGATCTCATCCGAAGAGCCGCACAGGCTGTAAGACCTGCAAGTCAAGGAAAATTAAAGTAAGAAATCCACCCCCGCACTCCCCTTGGGCGACTGCTCATCCTTTGGGGTGTTCTCGACGACAATGGATCTGATTGCTGTGGTACAAGTGTGACGAAGCCAGGCCCGCATGTGGCAACTGCATAAAACACAATGTTGATTGCGACTTTATCAGCCTGGAGAGCCCAAGATCGAACCTGTCTCCGGGTCCTCCCCAGGGGTTGGATGTATCGAGCTTAGAATTGCTGCACAACTTTACGACGAGCACGTTCGCCACTCTTTCCGAAAGCCTCATCCTGCGAGACTTCTACCGGATCACCGCCGTACAGCTTGGTCTACAATGCGAGTACGTCATGAGGACGCTGTTGGCGGTGTCGGCGTTGCATCTCGCCTATCACCGCCCCGGCATGCGAGACCACTACCAGTCGCTTGGGATGGCACATCACCAGGTCGCGACAAGAGATGCCAGTGAGCAGCAGAGCGTTTCGCTTCTGACTTTTGACAATTACGGCTGACGGAGATGTGCAGTGGCGGTAATGGCCGACCCAAGTCCTGCTACAGCAGAGACACTCTTCCTCTTCTCCTCTGTCACCATCCACTTCGCCCTCGCGTGTCCACGAAAAAATGATGGCCCTCTGTTTATCGAAGAGAGCGGGTTCCCCGAGTGGATGTTCCTACTCCAGGGCACACGCGCCTTTATGCGTATCACAGGCACTCAAAGCAGTGGCCTAATAACTCCCCTTCTTAGCCACGGTACCGATCGTTGGCTGGCCCGACAATCCAACCCCGAGCCGACGTCACGCGTTCATCAGTACCTGGACAGTATGCGTTCTTTGATTTCGCTACGCCAGTCCGACGTGGAGTTGCGCAACATCTACATTCGGGCCATTGATGAGCTGCAAAAGTCGTTTTCCGTATTCGAAGGCGCAGGAAGCGAGCACTGCGACTTGACCGATGCGTTCGTGTGGATCTTCGAAGTTGCCGAAGACTTGCTCCCGTTACTAAGAGTGCCAACTCAGGAGGCCGTCGCTGTGTTTGCCTTCTTTGCCGTGCTGTTGAAACGACTAGAGAAGCACTGGTACCTGCGAGGTTGGGCTGACCACCTGATCGCCAAATCATACGACCTGCTGGACGAGGAACACCGACTTTGGATACAATGGCCACTGGAGGAAACAGGTTGGATTCCTTCAGGCCGGCCGTGATAGACACAGGGGTGTTGTAGTCAATATAATCCCTTATAATGGTCACTAGTGAACCGTCTGTTTATTAAGTAACGAGGCTTGCTTTCTAGATGTCTAGATTTTATATTTGTATGGTATCCTTTCTTCTATCTAGATGGTCTATGAAGCTGCTAAACAAGTCTATATAAATGTGCACGTCATAACGTCCCGGGCTCATTCTCCCGAGGAAAGTTCCAGGTCATTACTACCTGGCCGTACTTCAATATCGTCAATGTACCAAACCAGAAATATGACCATCACCGCTGTCATCAGCACAGCGTCAAAGACATAGAGAAACACTTCGTGCGAGATGAGGTATCCGCCATTGCCCTGCAGATACTCAATCACACGAAAGACGCTTCGTACGAGAATCAGGGCGCTAACTGCATACAGGACGTTGAGGTGGCGCTTCCAATTGACGGTCTTGTGCGCAGATCCGACAATGCTAGAGTGAGCAAAGCGGTACTGGAAGATAACAGCGGTGATCATAAAAAATCCAAACACCACGATCTGGACAAAGAGCCCAGCAATGATAATCTTCTCGCCGATATGGAAAAGCTCCAAAGTGCCAGCGGCCTGTATACCGCCACCGCCGGCTTGCAAGGAAAATGAGATAACATCGCTAATTACGAACACTCTGGTAACCCAGGCGATCGGAATCAGCGATAGCTCTTCGGCTCTCAAGGTGCGAATAAGGCGCCCGAGAATCATATAGATAGAGGCGGCGAAGAGGGCGGGAGCGACGAGAATGAGAATGGCCTGGATAACGAAACCGCCGATCGAGAGCGTATCGAAGTGTGACCAGATGCGGCCGGCGTACCCAATCAATTCAACTACAGAGCGGTTAGTGGACTTGCTACAGGTGTACCTGGGCGGACGCCGCTGCGACCTGGGTGCTGTGGTAATCCTTACAAAAGCCACCAACGGTGAATGCGGTGAAATAATAGGATCGGTGTCGCTGGATACGCCAGACGTGAAGCGCGGATAGAATTGCGAAAACCACAACAAAAACAATTGCGGCAGGTAACGAAGGGGTGTATCGATACAGCCTGAAATCGAAAGCGCCGGCGGCGGCAGCCGCAGCAGCGGCGGCCGCAGCGTCAGTACCGCTGGTCTGGTCGGCCATTGTGACGAGGAGGAAACGAGTGTAACGGACCCGGTGGGTGGTTTGCGGATAGGGGCACCGTGGTGTCGAGCAGCTTGGGGGTTTGAACTTTTTATAAATCGCTCTCGTCCGCGAACGGTGCCGGCACACTGGGACCTGGGATGCATCTGCTTTATTAATAAATCCTCGAATCTGACTCCATACGAAAAGTCCGAGATATACGAGAACGCGAGCCAATACGCCAAGAGCTACCGAGATAGCGGGGTGACCCGAGCTCTCATAGAGGACTGTCAAGAAATTTGGCCGCCGCTTGGCGCATTAGCCCGCTGGGGCGAAGCACGACACGTACAAGGACTTCGTACATAGCATCGCAAGCACCAGCATTACTAGCCAGAATTACATGTCTCCTCAGCCTTGGGGCCCCGAGTAGGATGCAGCCAGGGCAGCGACCGAGGAACTGGGCTGTAAATATCGGAGCCCGCTTCACAGTGTTCAGTCCGAACTTTTGCGGAGTCACCGGTGGGAACGAGTCGTGGGTGCATGGTCCTCCACAAGACACTGACTAGAGCTACGATTTCATCCAGATGGCAACGGGACTGCCGAGACTATTGTAGCTAGCGACTTTAGCTCGAAACACAGATCATTTGTGAAATCAGAGTGTGGGCACGGGGGCAACCTACTGGACAATAAAGTCATTCTAAAGAAGCTTCTTGCATTGACGGGAAGTTGGTCATTTCACGCCTCGGAGCTGTACACTGCGAAACTATCATAAACGCAGGTTCTGCAAGCCTGGCTGCATACTTATTCAGTTGCAACAAACATGAGCTCATTGAGCACTTCGAACAGTGCCGCCCCTTCGGCTGCAATGGACGCCCCGCCGCCCTACGAGCTGCACTCGTCAGGTAGTGTCCTGGCCAGCTCGGCGGCTATACAAGGTGCGCCCCTTCAGATGCACCGAAGAATGATGGTTGACCAAGAGTGAATATAGCGGATGGCTCGATAAAAATAGGTTTCTCTTCGCCCGATCCCAAGGCTGTTACGCAACTGCTGCCAGCTTTACCCTTATCTCAGCCTGTTCCGCAGACAGTTTCGCACGAGACTTGTCCCGCCTTGAACATCGTCATACATGTAGTAGGAAGCCGAGGTAAGTGTCGCGCAGCAGCATTTTCAAAGATAACATATTCTTAACTCTCTCCTGTCGGGTAGGCGACGTGCAGCCGTTCATTGCGTATGGGGTCGCTCTTCAGCGCCAGGGACATCGAGTCCGTATTGCAACCCACAATGTCTTTGAGCGATTCGTGAGGGACTCGGGACTGGAATTCTATCCGATTGGTGGAGACCCTTCAGATCTCATGGCTGTAAGTACTCAGCATGATCCGGCCCTATCAGAACGACACAAATGTTAAATCCATCGGTTATTTAGTACATGGTCAAGAACCCAGGCTTGATCCCTTCTCTGGAGTCCCTTCGAGGCGGCGATGTTGGTCGGAAGCGAGCCATGATCAAAGAAATGCTGCACGGATTTTGGTTGTCGTGTATTGACGCGGACCTCGTCTCCGAAGCGCCGTTCGTCGCCGATGCGATAGTCGCTAACCCGCCCAGCTTCGCTCACGTTCACTGCGCGCAGGCCCTTGGGATACCCGTTCATATCATGTTTACCATGCCTTGGACTGCCACCAGGGCGTTCCCTCATCCGTTGGCAAATATGAGACAGAACGATCTGGAACCGGCGGCTGCGAACTGGTTGAGCTATGGAGTAGTGGGATTAATGACTTGGCAGGGGTGAGTTCTGTACAGCTCGGTTGAATACAGTAGCTAACCACTCCTTGCCACTAGGCTCGGCGACGTGATCAACACCTGGAGAAAGCATGAGCTCAGTTTAGAAGAAATTCCAGCTTCTATGGGCCCGTCGCTCGTGGAGTATCTGCAGGTGCCACACACATACTGTTGGTCCCCTGCCTTGGTGGCCAAACCTGCTGATTGGGGTCCCGAGATAGGTTAGTCACAATGCTGATCTGTCTATATCTTGAACTAACCTCCCGGAACGCCAGATGTTTGTGGATTTTTCATGCGCGACGAACCCCAGTACACTGCGCCAGCTGACCTAGACACTTTCCTTGCGTCGGGTCCTCCTCCGTTGTATGTAGGTTTTGGAAGCATCGTCCTCGATGACCTTGAACGCCTCACCAATGTCATTTTGGAGGCCACTCGCAAATGCGGCGTTCGGGTGATCATATCTCGGGGCTGGAGCAAATTAGGGGGCGGCTCGCCCAACTCCAACACCACCTTCTACCTGGACGATTGTCCCCATGGTAAGTATCCGGTCATGCTGCGAGAGGAACGAAAATACTAACGCCAGAGTAGAGTGGCTCTTTAAGAGAGTTTCCGCCGTGGTACATCACGGTGGCGCTGGCACCACAGCTTGTGGTCTAGTGAATGCACGCCCGACTATAATCGTCCCCTTCTTTGGCGAGTAGGTTGCACAAGCTCTGGTATTGTGACGGCATTGCTGATTTACGTGCAGTCAACCTTTCTGGGCAGATGTCGTAGCAAATGCGGGAGCTGGACCGCGGCCAATCCCACAAAAAGAACTGACTGTTGAGCGTCTCGTCGAAGCCATTGAGTTTGCAACCTCCACCGCTGCGAAGAATGCGGCCGAGACGTTGGCCTTCAGAATGAGACAGGAGAAAGGGGTAGATACTGCTGTTTCCTCGTTCCATCGCGGCCTCCCAATGACGGGCATGCGATGCGAAATCCTCCCTGATCAGGTTGCTCGCTGGATTCGGGATACACGCGGAAAGCGTACCAGGATGTCCGATGCCGCAGTCGCGGTATTGATCGCGCAAAAGAAGATTAAGATCGATGAACTGAAACCGTGCGTATTAGAGAGCGTCAGCCCAAAATCAAGTAGTAGTACTAACACAACTCATCAGCCTACGGAGTAAAGAGTATGATACCGATGTCCGCAGATGGGATCCACTGTCGGGAGGTGCAGCTTCTACCCTGGGAACCATAACCGATTTCACGAAGGCCCTCGGGGGTGTCTTCGTGGACCCTTTCACGTCGTACAAGCGCGTAAAAGGAGAAGGAAACGGTGCCTCGGCTGGCGGTGCCGCGCTGAAAGAAGTGGGCGTGGGATTTGGATCCATGGCCGGGGCTCTCACAAAAGGGACGCTGGTGAACACACCGCTGGCGCTAGCTGAAGGTCTTAGGAACGTCCCTCGGCTATACGGCGAGGAGGTGCAAGATAATGGGAAGGTTAAGGATTGGCAAAGCGGTGGGAAAGTTGCTGCCAAGGTAGGTTCTCAATTCAGACGGGGTAAGCCCGTGAGGTTAACGATAGCAGAACTTTGGGTCAGGATTCTACAACGGCATCACCGGCTTCGTCACACAACCATATAAGGGGGCCAAGGAAGAAGGCACTCTAGGCTTTCTGAAAGGAGCTGGCAAGGGTACCATTGGGCTTATCATCAAACCAGGCGCAGGTAGGCTCATCTCGCGATATGGTCAACGCACCGTTCAGTTTTCGACGCACGACTAACAATTTGGACAGCGATGTTTGGTTTGATGGCATATCCTGCCCAAGGTATATATAAATCGATCAAGGCAGGGAAAGGTTCAGAACACTCCATCTTGAAATCCAAGTGCGCGATGGTCGACAAACTCGTGTCACATAGCGCAGAACATATGAGAGTCGACGAGGTTCTGAAGGTCTTTGGTAGTGTTTGAAGATAGGACGGATGAAACGGGAAAGGAGTTTTCGGCCCTGGAAAGACAAGAAAGCTGTGGGTGCCTCAGGATAATTTGGTGGCCGTCGCAAATAGTGAAGACTCCGAATATTTAGGGTCATGTCAGAGGGGACCCTCTCGCTGTTCTCTTTCAAGGCTTGAGCAGAGTAAGTAGTGCACCTGGGCAGCATCAAAATGATGGCTGCAAAGAACTAAGAAGATTACTGAAAGTCCATATTTGCGTATATTGCCTTTGGAGTAACGGTTAGGGCATCGATCACTCTATGGGTATTTTTCTCAAAATCCGAAGTTCCACTGGTCCAATAAGACCAAAATCCTGCCAGTCTTCTCCGGTATAGTATGTTGGAGACTGCGGCCCGTACCCTATACTAAATATCCGATCCACGTTGGCTTTAACCGCGTTGAAAAGAGTTGTGGTAACCGCAACCTCAATGCTGTTGTCCCCGTCCACAACAAATTTGGATATATCCACCACTGGGTTCGCTGGGTCAATGGGAGGGACTTGCTTGCCATTGACCCAGGCCCTCAATGTGTTCAGTACAGGCCCAAAGCTGATGATAACAGCTTCTTTGCTATCTTTGGATAACCTAAATCGGCTAGAGTACGTCCCGATCCCGCTGGCATTTTGAATCCCAGCGATCTTGGTCCATGGTCTGAGATCTTCCAGTGTCCCTACGTTGATAGTGGTCACAACCCCTTCCAAGGTATCATTATTGGCAGATGGACCGTAGGCTTCAACAACCAAGTCCCAAGGGCCCAACGCTTTTACCCCTTCATCGGTGATATTTGGTCCGAGCAGAGTCGCCCGAATCCCATTGCTCAAGGTTACCCATGCCTCGGAAAAGTTGCTTACCCACGCCTCCAAGCATCCACTGTCCGTAAGGCGGATGGCCTCGACATTCGGAGAGCGGGCGACAGCGTGCAATGCAGCTGGCGTGGTTCCTTGCATAGGCTGAAAGGCAACTATCGTCGTTTGGTTTGCCTTCAAGCGAACTTCTGTGGTGATGCCGTGCGAGGTTGCTTCATATAATGCTATTGGGATCTGTTCGCCGTTCCATGCATTCAGGACTACGGGCTTTGTATCACAAGGTACGGTGAATGTTACGTTGAATATAGCATCAGCACCAGTGTTATACAAATATACATACTCGGACTTGTGCTCGGTGTCCGATGTCCAAAACGTGTAGAGGCCGGAGGCGTTGGAGCTAGCACTTAGGTTGGCGCGAGCTAGTACTCCGTCCGCAGCGAGTGTTGACGGGGAGAATTCCTCGGGGCTCAATAGGCGCACAGCCTCGTGCTCCAGTAGCTTTGCCACATTTGCTGAGACTTCCTGCTGGCCCATGGCCCCGACCGTCGTGTTAGGGACAGAACCTACGATATAGATAGGTAGTCCACCTTCCGCAAACTCAACCAGTGCTGCAGATGCACCCGGGGTAATCTGCGTCTGGTTGTAGATGACCAAGGCCTTGTAACCAGGGCCATCTGTGGCAAGGACACCGTCGGTAACCACTGCTCGATCAGATACAAGGTTTGCAGGTCCCAAATACTCGAAAGTGTAGCCTAACTGTGTCAATCCCCATCCTTTCCACCGCCACGCATAAGGGTGAGGGACTTACCAGCCGCGTTCATATGACTTTCAGGAAATACACCAAGACCAAAGCGGTAAGGAATCTCAAAGTAATAAATTGCAAAATCCACCTTAGGTATGCCGCGTTGCATTATCATCGAATTCCTCGCCGAATATGTCATGAGATCGTCGAAATGTCGCCAAGCGGGTTGTCGGGGATTCCACATTTCCGAGAACTCGAACTGAAAAGGGGTGTATCCAGGCCAGGTTGTACCCACGTAGTTGCCGCTGTAGGCATATCCATGGAGTACCATAGTATTCACGCCGGCAGCTAGAGATCCATCGAGAAGACCTCGCAGCTCCGGAAGTCGCTGTTTGTACGCCCCTCCAAGGACTGCACCCACCTCTGTCGATATCACATTCCGCCCAGCCAGGTGAGCCGCGCCGGTAAATTGGCGGTACATATTGATACTCTCCTTGAAGCCTAGCGACTCGAGTTCTGGAATTTGAACATGTGGTACTGCTTCGGTCTTCATAGAGTTAACGCCGGTTTTCACACTGGAGGGCAGAGTCCCAACATCGTGTAGAAAGACTTACCATATCGATAGGCATATTATAGGCAGGCTGTGTAGATAGTTTGAGACCTTTTGAAGAAGCCCATTCCCCATAATTCTGCACATACTCTACATACCCCTGGCTCAATGCCGCTTTGTAGTCTTGCACGTATAGTCCTCCGTCTGGCAGGTATTCACCCAATGTGTACGTTATATTATACGGAGGAAGGTATCCGCCCCAGGCATTTGTGGCGTGAAACAGAATCGGCAAGTATTTAGTGATACTATAGCCATGTAGGGACTCAAAACGAGATAAAAGGCCGTTCGTCCAAGGCAGAGCTGCTTGTATCTCCATACTATCTTCCCAAGCTGGAAAATGACGGTCAGTCATGGACATATCACATGTGGGATAGTACTGACCGTATTCGCCAACTTCTTTTATGAGAGTAGCTATGACCTCATCGGAGAAAATCTCCTCGTCCCAAAAGTCGGTCATCTTCCTAGCGCCGGTTGCGCTCCAGTGGTCCACTATCCAGGAACCATTGCCCAAGGCGGTCGTAGCGTTCGAGACCGAGACGCAACTTCTTTGATTTGTGTAACGTTCGTAAATACCAAAGACTACCCAAGTCTCATTGCCTTCCGGAGCCGTCCACGCGATTTCACCTTGTGTTGTAAGATTTGTCAAATCGATCAGGCTCGTTTCATTAAGAATAGACATGTAGAAATACTCATCCAGTAATACTTCCGTAACGACTTTTCCGGCTGTCACGGCGACGAGTTCATTCGTGCCCCAAGGCTCAGGGGGGTTCATAAATCCCGTCAGCCTGTTGAACTCGACGTTGGGCTCCGGCACGGGCCCTTGATAAGTTTCTCCAGACTGGAGCGTCATGTTTCCATATACAAGTTCCTTAGCCAAGCCTGGAGTCCCTACGGTAGAAGGTACACCGGCACCTTGATTGGCGCCAAAGGCGAAGTCAAAGGCCAAATCATGGGCAGCACTTGCACTTAAGGCTGCCGCAAACACATCTTTAAATGCCTCCGTGCCGAATCCGTAGATGGTCCAGTCAGTAAGTGCTGGGCCAAGCCCATAATTGTAAAACGGGAGAAACTCGAGTCCCCCTGCTCCCGCCGCGGCAATGTGATTAACATCGTCAATAACGGATTGACGGGGTACTGAGGCATCGGGGAGCCTAACGTCATTAGTTACGTAGCATTAAGGTACAAGAGTGGTCATTCAACATTCACATACCAGTAGCGGAATTTTGGTCTGTATGGAAGCGCGGGCGCTTCGAATCCTGGCACCGCAGTGTCTGCAGCTTCACTTCTGATTGCCACTAAGAAACAAGTCACTGGGATGAAGGTTTTCAGGAATCGTGAGATCATGTTTGTTTTCTTGCCTCGGGCAACGATCTTGACTATCCATGGGAACGTGGTCAGGGACTTGGTCTAGGACTTGTTCGGAATAACTTCAAGTCACAACTGGGGTCATGAGAGGAGAACAGCGAATGGGCTTAACACACGGCGGTTTAGCACCAATTATAGTCAAGAGTACTATGGCATCGCTTGCAGATGAACAACTCGGCTATTGGGACAAGGTCATGGGAAATGATGTCAACGAGAGACGATGTCGTAAGTGCCGAAGGCGTAAACAGCGGCCTTAATCTTGGCTATGTCCACATCAAGACCTTCCCCAAAGTGGGATCTTCCGAGACCGATGTAACTTCATCTGTTGGATGGTTTTTCATGGGGAAGTGTGGGGTATCCCTGGTTCGCTCCGAGGAAAATGTGGGGTTACCCCATGTATAGGTAGGGTATAAACAATGGGAAGAGCTAGATCTCGCATTCGGAGCGAGTACGGTTCGGCTCCAGGGTGATCCTCAGTGAGCCTGGGCAGCGGCCTCGGTGGGATGTGTCCCGAGCAGGCTTTGGAAGTCTTCTATTAGCCATGGCAAACATACAACCAAGGGTGGAACACACATCATTGGATAGGGAGGAAAGGCCCCCCCTAAAGACTAAGGGATATAAGTGAGGCCCAAGGTCACTTCGAGGACCTGCTCTGACTAAAGCTGAGCCCAGCTACGCATGTTTGACATCGCTCAAGTCACAGTGCGATGATAAAATTAAAAGGATGGCTGCCATTGGTAGCGCTCATCGCTACTACAATCGGTAAACCTCAAAATGGAAATCTGGCCCCGAATTCGGATTTCAAGGGCTTGTCATTTGACAATATCGGTGAGTTCTCACACTCTAGAACTCGACAAGCAAGCCATCTTACTGTGGTGCGTCAGAATGGGCCAAAGCAACTTCTAGAGCTAGCAAGTTCGTTGCGCAATTGACCTTGGACGAAAAGATTGGTATCGTCACTGGAAACGCGTCAAATCTTCAAGGATGCATTGGCAACATAGACGCAGTGCCTCGACTCAACTTCCAAGGAATATGTATGATGGATGGACCGCAGGGAATAAACCGTGCTGAGAGCGTCAGCGTCTTTCCTAGTGGTATAACGATGGGGGCTACTTGGGATACCAGCCTCATCTACCAACGTGGGATGGCGATGGCCAAGGAGTTTAAGGGTAAAGGAGCTCATGTTATGCTTGGGTACGATTCCTCAACTCCTGCGGGGTCAATTAGTCCTGACTGACCTTTCAGACCTGTATCTGGACCACTCGGCCGCAACGCTCTAGGTGGCCGCAACTGGGAAGGCTTCGCGGCTGACCCGTACTTGACTGGCCTCGCCATGAGCGCCTCTATTGCAGGAGCACAGTCCGTCGGGGTACAGACGAGTTCGAAACATTTCATCGGGAATGAACAAGAGACGCAAAGAACACGGACCACCTCGATCGATGGGAGCATCGTTGAGGCGGTGTCATCCAACATAGATGATAGGACACTTCACGAACTCTATCTTTGGCCCTTTGTCGATGCAGTCAGAGCTGGTACAACATCAATCATGTGTAGCTACAACCGGGTCAACCAGGAATATGCATGTGCCAACGAGAGGTTATTGACAGATATTCTCCGCGACGAGATCGGCTTCCGTGGCTACGTAGTCTCGGATTGGTACGCTACTCACAGCACGTTGGCGACTGCCAATGCTGGCCTTGATCTAGAGATGCCCGGTGTATCCTTAGCCCAGGATCCTACATACTTCGGTGACGCCTTGCTCGGGGCTGTCTCCGCGGGTAATGTAACGCAGAGCCGATTGGATGACATGGCTACTAGGGTTCTGACACCTTATTACCTGCTCGAACAGGACAACGACTATCCCACTGTCGACCCTGCCTCTATCTACAACTATGTGTTCCAGGAGGTTGGGTGGGACAGCCCTTATATTCCATTGCTACTGCCACTGCTTGGAGATAAGGAGCCACCTGCTGGTAGGGACGTCCGTGGAGACCATGCCTCTCTTATCCGAAAGATAGGTGCCGCAGGTTCTGTATTGCTCAAAAACGAGGGCGGCATTCTGCCTCTGAGTGCTAGTACGACTATGAACATCGGTATCTTCGGGAACGACGCCGGCGATCCGACAGATGGGCTCACTGCCCTCTTGACGGATGATCCGCTAGGTTTTGAGTATGGCACCCTTGATATCGGTGGAGGTTCCGGCACGGGACGTCACTCAAATCTCGTTTCGCCGTTAAATGCAATCAAGGAGCGTATTGCCAACACCGGAGGCAAGGTACAGTATCTATTGTCTAACTCAATCATTTCTGAGAATAACTTTCGGACCATCTACCCTAGACCAGACGTGTGCCTGGTGTTCTTGAAGACTTACGCAGCGGAAACCTACGATCGAGCTTCCTTCGAGGCTGACTGGAATTCGACGCAAGTCGTCACTAACGTTGCCAACTTTTGCAATAACACCATCGTCGTCACACACTCTGCTGGAATCAACACCATGCCCTGGTCGAATCACACAAATGTCAAGGCTATCATTGCCGCCCACTTACCCGGCGAAGAAACTGGAAACGCAATAGTCGACGTCCTCTGGGGGGAAGTCGAGCCGAGCGGCCGACTACCCTACACGGTTCCCAAATCGGCAGCAGACTACGGTATCCCCATCACAAACCTCACTGGACAAGACGTGGGGCGCTATGGATGGCAGGCAAACTTTACCGAAGGTCTGATGATAGATTACCGCCATTTTGACGCTTTCGATATCGAACCACTCTTTCCATTTGGGTTCGGACTGAGCTACACCACTTTCGAAATGGCAACGCCGGCGACATTTACCAGTCTCGTTCCGAGCGGATCGCTAACGCCGACTCCCGACGCAGCTGTCGAGATTCAACCAGGTGGCAATCCTGAGCTCTGGTCTACCCTAATCACTGGGACTGTTGCGGTCAGAAACACTGGCACCAGAGCTGGTGCTACCGTGGTTCAGCTTTATATGTCCTACCCCAAATCTTCTGTGCCGGATGGGACGCCGCTAAGGGTCCTCCGTGGGTTCCAGAAGGTGTATCTTGAACCTGGGGCTGAATCGGTGGTGTTATTCAACCTCACAAGGCGTGATGTCAGCTTTTGGGATGTGGACGCGCAGTCTTGGCGAGTGCCAGAGGGTGAATTAGGGTTCTACGCTGGGTTCAACTCACGGGAACTTGTTCAGAATGCAACGCTTATATTGCTGTAGGAGACAGGCAAGTGCTAGAAAATAAGTGCGCAAATGATGTCAATAACAGGGTATAACCTAGTTCAATTTAATTGAAATTATATGGAAGTTGTACAGACCGCTTTATGGGCTCTCCGCCCTTGCCCTACGCTCTTTTTCCAGTGTGGTGAGTGAATACTCCAAGATGCTAGAGGCATACATGAGACTTCTCATCTCAATTTCGAAAACGTGACACTATATTTGTTTCTTCCTTCTGTTGGATTTGTCAGTAGGAACCTGTATAGGCAAGAGTCAAAATGCATCAGCAACCACGGCGGTCTATCTTAAGCAGAGTACTATGAGCCCTGCAGGAGCATCATTCACTTCATAGTAGTCTCGTGTAACTATCATGGTCATTGAGACGGCGGCTACAGTGGATTTGAGTGGATAGAGAGTAGGACTGAAGAACAACTGTTCCAACGTACAGGCTATGAGTAGAGAAAGTCACCATCTTATAATGCATTATGAAAGGCCACTTAGCGCGCATCTGCAGTACTTTGAATCAGGCTGCACATCCATGAACCTTTCTATATACAAGTAGTTGGCATGTTTAAGTCACGTCGTGCCACCCGGGGAATTCGGAACCACATTGGAATGTATATAGCCCTTTTGGGAGGCTAGTTTGCACCGTGTGATTCTCCAACAGTTCATTCCAAGAAGATGGATGGTATGGCCTTTTCACTTATCCTATGCTCTTTGGTACTCTTCGGCGTTGCTCATTTGACTATTCTAGATCCTCAGTCTCTCATTTGCCTTACATTGAGGTTTATCCTCTTATTCCGCATCCAACCTTTCCAGCTCTCATATTTGCCATCCTCAGCGGGCCAATCCGCTAGATAGTCTGGGCAGGTCCCCTTGAGCACCTTCGGTACGCCATGCCATGCGTAGCGCGATTCCTCCGACATATATATAGCATCGCCCGAGCGCAGACGAAGAAGAAGATATGGTTTTCTCGTAAGGGGATCATTACTCTCTGATGAGGGACTCTCGCCAGTATTGGGGGCAATCATGAACAGCGCATCACAGCCGATACTGAGACTTACGAGCCCCTTGTTCGTCTCCTCGCTGACGTCACGGTGCATCATCATTGTATCTCCCGGACTGTAGAAGTTGACGATAGCAGCTTGGGCCAGAGTTGCTGGAAACAGTGTCTGGAGGAAGCCAGCGATATCATGTGGGAAGTTTGGTGGACCCTGCTCCGGATATACGCGGTTGGTCCAGTCATATTGTCCCCCAAGAGTGACCCAGCTGAGCTTGCGTTCCATAACCTGCTTGATGGACAAAGGTTTGTGCACAGTGGGATCCTTGGGGACGAATTTGATGTCCGACTCCGGCGGAAGCGAAAAGAAGGAGCTGTCCTCGTGTGCTTCTAAATAGGGGAGGTCGTAATGAAGGTGAAGATTTGTCTGATGTGTGGGGTTACTGAGGTCTCGGTGGACCATGCGAGACAACAGTGTCTTCTGTGTCGAGGGTGGTATCAGGCCCGGCGCAAGAAGGAGCCCAGGGAGGATGGGGTGGTGGAACAAGGGCGCATCCGACACATCACCGTCCGGTTCCCACTCGGCGCCTCCAATCATCTGCAATGCCCGCCGGACTTCTTCCGAGGGTATGCGGCCGGACAGGCGAAACTCGCCGAGATCTTCGGCATCCCTTGCGGGGAGTTCATCTATGTCTGGGTGGCCTACAAAAGCCGCATGATCGGTCTTTTGATATGACTTCCAGAGGGCCCTGAGCTCATCTGAAGGTTGCTCATGCGCATCCAAGCTCTGCAGGTCGACCGCCATCTTTGGTGCAGTGCCCTGCGGCGAGAAGGTGCGATGTGATCATAGGACAACTGTTCAGGATTATCAGGAACAAGGGTTGTCTCTCTGACTTCCCAAAGACTGCGTCGGCGGCCGGCCTGGTGGTCGTGGTCGTCGGGAACTTCCGAGCAGTTGGCCGAGCACGGAGCGCTATGCTAGGGGGCATTCACTACGGTAATCCGCGCCACAAGGACGAATGAAAACCCCGGCTGCCGAGCCCGAGCGGTGAGGGCTGGCAGAAAAAGTTCCGGACCTGCGTTTGGACCCTGGTTTTATCAACACGCTAATGACATAGGTACGGAACACATGCATGAGAGCTGATCGCATTCGACAACTGCAGGCTTTTTCAGAGTCAAAGGTTGGGCCCCCGCTCCCATCTCCAGCAAGATCCCCGGATGCGTCCAACTCGAGTCACTCCTTTGCGCATGCCGTCTCTGCTGCGGCCCTGCCTACGGAATGTTCGCCCTCGACTGATCATTCGCCGCGGTGCGGCGACCGAGCGCCTCGAACCACGTCTATTGCAGGCCACGTCTCCCTTAGCCGAGCACTTGAGGGATCTGAACTTCTGGGAAGCTCGGGAAGCTCGACACAGCCCACAGACCGCGGCACCACGGCCACGGTTGGGTGGGAGGACAGCCCAACGGAGTAAGGAGAGGCTGACAGGCGACAAAGCTCGTGTCAACATCGTGAGCGAGAAACTTTGCGACGATACCATCTCGTACCTTGCCAAATCTCTCGAACGGCACAAAGGATGCGATCTTGTGGACGTATACCCTGGTGCTGGCCTATGGAGCCGCAAGCTGAATGAGTTCTTAGAGCCACGTACGCACATCCTGATGGAACCGGACACGAAGCTCTACCGGCCGTTCCTGCAGCCATTGCTCGACTCCCCAGAAGCGACTCTGGTGCCCAAATCTGGCATCGTCTGGAAGGAACTCGATGCGGTCTTAACCCCCGAGTTTCTGCCACACCAGAAGCTGGTCGATCGCAAGTCGGAGGAGGCAAACCAGAGGAACGATACGCTGCTCGTGACATGCAACCTCGCATTCTACCCCAAGAAAAAGTTTGTCGGGTTTGATTCGGTCGCGCTGCTCGTGCTTCACCAGTTTGTCGACTCGATCAAGTCCAGCGGCCTGTTTCAGAAGTATGGGCAAGTGCGCATGCTGGTGTGGGTACGCCGTGAAGACAAGGCCGGCATCCTGCCCCGTGTCATGCAGCGGCGAAGACGACAGGCGAATGAAACCGAGCTTCTCTGCGACTGGGTTCACGAGGTAGTCGGCTACGACGGCCGTGACTCCAGCGTTTTCGCCAGGGACAGCACGATAGATCGTGCCAGCGCGCTGGCTACGCTAAAGAGGATGCAGGAAGCAGGCATCACAACCCCGGAGGGAAGAATGTCGGAAGCCCTCAAAACGGCGATGGCCGACTTGGAGCAAAACAGGCCAGTTGTTCCAGGCAGCGTGCCTTCCAGTATTGAGCGTGCCTATAGCAGCCTCCTCGAGTTACCGCTGAGTGCCGATATCAAGGTCGGCACGGAGGAGTTCAACAAGAGACAGAAGTCCCAATGGCGATTCAATGGAGATGTTCGGAGATTCCAGTTCATCCACGATCTGCAAAAAATGATCGACGACGCAACTGCGATGAGAGAGGCCGGCCGCCCGGCTGAGGAATGCGAGGCTCTCGAGGCGCGGTTCGACGATCTCTTGAGCCGCACGACGCAGGTAAACGCGTCGGACTTTGGAACGGCCAAAGACAACCTGCACATTTGGCGCCAGCCAGAGCCTGTGATGCATTGGGACCGGCGAGCGATAGAGCCGTTAATTGCATCTCCCCAGGAGTTTTACCCCAACGTGGAGTGCTGTCTTCTTGACATCCAGCCCAAACCGATCAATCGAATAATGCGACACATGGGCCCGGGGTCGGCTCACAATGGCGAAGCTGCCGAGCTGATCATGCGGCTGCTCTGGGGTACACCCACCCAGCCCATCGATCGGGCGCTGGATGCCGTCTGGCCGGGAGCTGCGGACTACATCATTCCACGGTGCCCGAGCTTCCGCGACCCGGCGCAAGGCGGTGTCAACGTGAAAACGAAACACGCACAGCTGTCGGTGAGGTTACTGAATCCTACCCAATGGGAGGAGCTCCTACATCATTGGAGCGAATGGCCCTTTCAGCCGACCTTCCCGGAGCTTGTGTCCCGATCTCAGGATGATGGAGACAGCGACTATGATACTAGCAGCGGTGGAACTGCAAACTACTGATGGAATAGCTTGGCTCAGCATCATCTCCAGGAGACCTGCACCAGCTGAGCTCGTGTAAGATATATCTGTGTATATATATATATATATATATACGTGTACCTATACGTAGATGCGATAGCAATAACCCAACAAGACTACACGGAAACTTTCTGTAGAGCTCTCAAAATGGGCGGTGACAACGAACCAGCAACTCGTCTTTTGCTCTTTTTCCCTCCTTGTTTCCCCTCCCAAATGGTTACGGAGGAGTGGGCCATTCCATCGGGAGCAGGCAGAGTAACGAGGAAGGGGAGCAACGGAGCAGAAACGAGCTCCTCAGCCTGCTGACCCGCAACTGGCAAGGAATTTTGTGTCCTTTATCTTGGGTTACAGCTATAACCGGATGCTGAGCCTCTGTTTCTCGGCTCGTGTGTCCGATTGGGCATCAGCACTCCTCAAGCACGGGTTGACTTGGATGGTGGTACAGACTCTGGGCACTTGTTCTACTAGGTCGGTGCTGAGATCAGCAGCTACGATGTAAGGCTAGCCTGGCAAGTCTGGCCGTCGATAAGGCCGCCTAGATACTTCTGGGAGCTTACCTTGACAGATGCCGCGAAATTTCAGAGACATGTCTTGCCGTGGCAGAGAGACATTTCCCCCAGAATGTGTCTCGTCCAAAGTGCAGGCCTCGGCCCGCCAGAGACAGACTGTGTGACTGAAACGTGTCTGGGATGATCGTGAGGCTCCAATAGTGTTACATTGTAAGTGGCATTTGAACTTGCAGGTCTGCATGAGCGCAACACAAGGATGCGTTCTGAACTGCACTGCGCAAGGTCAGCATTACATGGGTCGATTCCGCTGATCATCGCGGACCGGCAGCCACCGCGGACTAACACGGTGTACTATAAACCTCCTGGCATGAACGTGTCACTGCCAACTCAAGTAAAGGTAGGTACGAAGTACACGGTAGGGACGCTTCCATCGCGCTCGCAGAATCATACGCTAGGATGCTTGCCCCCGCGGCCCAGGTCACTGTCATGGCCTGCATCCAACGGGACTGGCTGTCGAGCTTACACAGAGAGGGTAATAATCATTCGAGCGCTGGGTAATTGGGAGCATCCGCAACGTGCTACGATACTCAAGAAGCTAACCGGTCAAGCCACCTTGGATTGCAGGGCGGTCGGAAAGGGAGATCAAGAAGACATCATCATCATCATGATTGTCAGGAGGATGGATGGGCGCTGGCACTATTGGCATGGCACCCCGAAGCGACCTCGGGAATCTCTGGGGGTGGCTGCAACCTGTTCGTTGGTCGTCGTCACAAAAGGGGGAGGCATTTTTGGTGTCGGGGAGCTCAAGACAGTGGCTCAAGTGGAAATCTTCAGCGGTCATCAGCGGGTCCTGGGGGTGCATTAGCCCTTGGCCCTTGGACGCTGATCCGTGGGTGGCTTGCCCCGCTAATTAAACGAGGCCAGCCCCCGGACGTCGGGACGCTAACACTGCCCTTTTTAGCCCTAACCTCCAATCTTGGAAGCCTCCCCATTCCCCCGTCCCACTGTCCCACCTGGGCAGTCTCTCTCCCAATCCTCCGGGTGCCAATCTGCATTGCGCGCCTGGACAACCTGCCAGCCGATCAGCCTGCCAGCAGGGCAGGGCAGGGGAGAAGGCGTGCCTATTTCCGGCCAATATTGCAGCCGACGCATTGCCCCAGCTGCCCGGCTGTGCCGGCAGCACCGTGGAAAAGGACACTGTAGGCAAGACGGGACGGAATCAACTGGAACAAGAGTATATGATACCAATGTAGCTACCCGTCTGCCTACCTATACCTATACATATTACCTGTACCTATAGCTAGCTACCTGTCGAGCCTGTGCACCGAACAGACAAGTGAGCGTCTGCATGCCGAATACCCACACCCCCCATTTCGATGCAATCTGCTGCCAAACGCGAGAGTACAGTACACCGGGGCCGGGGGTCGGCTCCTGGAGACAGCCTGCTGTTGCAGCTCGTCCAGGACCTGAAAGCCGCGCCCCCATCCATGGATTCGACTCGTCCATCCGCGCCCATCTCCCTCGCCCGCTCACTTTGTCACCCACCAACCCAACCCACCCACTCACAAAGACGCCAAATCCAACGCCATCCCGAATCCGGCGGCTCCCCCAGTCTCGCTGTGGCCTGTACGACCTTCTAATTATACACGGTCCAATCCGACCCAGCTGCCCAGGTGGCGGCTGAAGGAGCCGAGCGGGTCTTTTGACGTGAGCGAGCGAGCGAGCACAGAGAAAAAGAGACGAGGGACTCGCAGACAGGCAAGGCTCCCGGGCAAGCTCACACGCACGCATGCATAGGCACGCCCGTCTATCGTCAGCAGCAGGCCTTGAACCTCAGCCAAGCATCGACGGCCCCAGGTAGCCTGGCCTCTTTTCTGCCCGTCCCGTTAGCCCGTCCCCTTTGAGTTTTCCCTTCGCCAGGAACCTCTGCTTACCCTTAACTTATTTCCTTTGTCCACTCCATCCATCCTCAGGACTGCGGCTGTGACTGCGATTGCGACTGCGTCCACGCCAGCAACCACGGCCACGACCAACGAGCCAACTTCATCTCGGGCGTTTCGTGTGGCTTGCGGATTGAGTTCGGATCTTGCGCAGGCCCCTTCAGCTGTCTTGCACGACCGCAGACGGACAACCCTGTGCTCTGCCTGCTTGCTCGTTCGCAGGCCCGTCTTCCCACCTGCCCACCAACGCCTCGGCAGTCTTCCGTCCACCCCCACTTCCAGACGACGTCGTGGCGCCGTCCGCCGGTCGTTCTTGCCCCATGATGCGCTCGCCGGCGTTCCCCCCGCGGCGGCCCTCCCACCTGGTCCGATACATCCTCCCGGCCGCCCTCCTGATATACCTGCTCTACTACCTCTCGAGAACGGGCGCCGATGCCCCGACGACCCATGTCACAGCCGGCGGCAGCGGCGCGGCCCCGGCCCCGGCCCCGGCCCACGAAGACCACCAGATCATGTATACGCCAGGAGAGAAGGAGAAGCCGTCCTACCAAGTTGACGACGAGAAGCCCCTCGAGCACGAACCGACCGGCAACGATAAGACACCACCTGCTTCCCATGGCCAGGATGGGCCCCCGCACGCATCCACCGTCCACCCCATTGACTCCTTGATCAAAGTTGCCGAGGTCGACTTCGCTGAGATCATGTCCCGCGAATCGAACACGCTCCAGGAGGCTGCTGCCGCATACCGCAAGCGACGCGGCCGACACCCACCGCCCGGCTTCAAAGCCTGGTTCGAGTTCGCCAAGACGCACAACGCCGTCATGGTCGAGGACTTTTGGGACCAGATCTACCACGATCTGAACCCCTTCTGGGGTCTGGACCCGCACGTCATGCGCAAGGAGGCCTGGGATTTTGAGATGACCATCAACGTGCGCAACGGCAACGCGAGCGCCCAGAGCGACTGGTTTTGGACCCAGATCTGGCTCGACATGATCAAGACGGTCGAGGAGCACCTGCCTGACATGGACATCGCCCTGAACGCCATGGACGAGCCCCGTCTGGTGGTGCCCTGGGAGGACATCAGCGGCTACATGGAAAAGGAGAAGGCAACACGCCAGCTTCACCCGGTAAAGGATGTCATCAGCAGCTTTGACACGCTGCCGAGCGTCAAGGAGGGCTACAAGACCCCAGCCACTAGGAAGGTCAAGTGGGAAGACACTGGTATGAGCCTCCATTCCTCACTCGCAGTTGCTATGCGCTGGATAAGAAGCTGACATGTGCCCCCTTCTATAGAACCATACTGGCAGATTATTCGCCGCGGCTGCTCACCCGACAGTCTAGCTCGTACCTCCAGCACCTTGAAGACGTTTGACACGACCCCGGCGTTCTCTCCCTCGTACGCTAGCCCCCATCAGTATCAGGGGTTCGTGTCCAACTACACGATGTCGACCCAGTTCTGTCACCAGCCTGATCTTCAGGGGCTCGAGGGCATCTTCATCAAACCTCTGACGACGTCGGCTACCAAGATCCTCTTTCCCATGTTCGGCGGGAGCAAGCTGGCTACGAACAACGAGATCCTCTTGCCTGCCCCCATGTACTGGAATGAGGAGGAGAGATTCACTGGCGGGGGCTACCACGGTGCTCCCTGGGAGGAGAAGGTCGGCGACCTGATCTGGCGCGGTGTTGCGACGGGAGGACACAACACGGAGAAGAACTGGAAAGGTTTCCAGCGCCACCGTTTCGCATCCATGAACAACGCCACAAAGCTAGCCCTCGCCGAGTCGGGGAAGGAAGCTCCCTTGAACTTCGCCTTGCCCACCGGCGCCGACCGCGTCGCAGCTCAGAAAGACGGCAGGCTCGCGCAGTGGCTGTCCAAGTTTGCTGATGTAGGCGTCACTGATCTCGCATGCGATGAGAAGCTTGACGAGAGCTTAAAGCAGAAGGGCGGCCACTGCCTCTACACCAACTTCTACTACGACCTAGTCCTCGGCCGTACCCTCGCTGAGCAGTTTGACTACAAGTACCTGCCTGATATTGACGGCAACTCCTTCTCAGGGAGATACCTCGGATTCCTCAGAAGCACGTCTTTGCCCATCAAGAGCACCATGTGGCGCGAATGGCACGACAGCCGCCTTGTCGCGTGGAAACACTTTGTCCCAATGGACAACCGCTTCCTGGATTACTATGGTATCATGGAATACTTCCTCGGGTACGAGGACAAGGTGTTGGCCCACGATGCTCAAGCCAAGAAGATTGCCATGGATGGCAAGGAATGGGCCGAAAGGGTTCTGCGCAAGGAGGACATGCAAATATACGTTCTCCGCTTGCTTCTCGAGTACGCTCGTATCTCGGACGAGCGACGCGAGAAAATGGGCTGGGTCGAAGATCTTTTGTGAGAACCAGGGCTATCGGAGTTACAAGGTTTTGGGCGACTGCATATTACATACTAGGGGAAAGAACGAACGCCGACATGACATTACGTTGGCCATGTACATAACTGTACTATACGCGGCGTCTGGATGGCGATTGGGTTGCCATGCTTATGAGTGAAGAGAAAGTCCTCCGATAATGGTTGTGTCTGATGTTCCCCTGGCCCAGTGGACACATCCACATACCAGGGCTATGTACGAACATGGTCGGATAGGGGTCTGGCGCGTTGGATCGTGATTCCATACTGCATACGCAGCGTGCGGCAAACCCGGTTCGAGGTGGGCAACACAGAGGGCCGACATTATACCAGGCGTTCCCGGGCTGGAGCCAACTATAGAATTATTAATACACACTTTTTTACAGTTGCATCTTGGCCTTGCGCATGCGTAATATCGAGGTTAAAGTCAGGCTCCCCCCTGAAACATTCTCTATCCGCCCAGTGGGATACCGTCAGAAACTGTTCTGCATATGCAGTTACGTGCAATTATTTATCATAGGGCAAGCTACGCGGCGGTGGATATCGCCCATTGGCGACCTGTTACGAGTAAATGCACAGACCGGCTTGCTATCAGACTGCAGCTACACAGGGCGCTTCGGCGGTGCTCGAGACTATCTATGCCTTTCCAACTTGAAAGTCACCAGTATGCTCTGCAGTAAGATTTTCAGTCTCACACATATTCCTGCCGCTTGTGTATTACATCTCTCTAGCCGAACTCGAGCCATATTTACCCTAAAATGCGCTCTGCTATGTCTGGGGCAAGGCGTGCATGAACACTGAGATTCGAGCGAACGTGATTTCACTGCTGGCTACAGTAAACCTTGCTGAAGGACTCTAGGACTTGTGCAAAGAGCGATTCGACGAGAGGTGGCGCTTCTGGATCAATGCCATCTACATCGATCAGATTATTGCACCAAAAGGCTCCTCTTAAGTCAGCCTGTTTGGCTTGATTTACGCACAACCGTCAGCTGTCCTGAGCTGGCTCGGACCGGATGACGAGAAACGCATCGACCTGTAATACAAAGAAGCTCGGCGACTATCAAAATTCATACGCCACTCACAAAAGAAGAGTCTACGTAGTCAAAGCAGCGGCCAAACTTGCACCAGAGAATCCATCAGACATCTGTGCAACGAAGTTTGGAGTGCTCTAACATAGCTGATGGATCGCATCTACTGGAAGCGTGTATGTACATACCGAATGATCGCGCTGGCCGAGCACCCAATCGCCCGCATCGCTTTCTGTGGTGACCAGGCGGTCAACTTTCATAAAGTCGATGAAGCGGCTCTAGCACCCGGCGCCAAATACGCAGCGGCTTCTTATGTCTGAGGTGATTCATACATCACAGTCAGAGGTCTGGTAAACGAACAAGCTTTAGCAGTTACCACAAATCTCGCATCCGCCCTATGACAGTTTCAAAAGCCCGCTTGCAAGATATGAGCCAACTACCTTCACAGATCGACGCATTATGTATCAATTAAGACAATATCCCAGAACAATCCCACCAAGTTAGCTTAGCTTAATGGGCATGATCTATAGCAAAACCCTCACTGTGATAGCGTGGCTTAGGTCCCCCAACCTCACCCCTGTCTCCGAAGTGCAGGAACTGCTTGAGCGCAATAATACGCATCCAACGGCCCAGGACATTGCTGGTCTGCACGACAAGCCATTTGAGGCTACGGCCAGCAACTACACAGTTCACGATGCTCGCGTGTTCAGTAGCCTTGAAGGGTTGGGTGACAGAGTCGTGATTAGGACCGAACGCGGACGCCTAGCTTTGGCCCCAGCCAGTATTCGTCAAGGTGGTGGACAGTGCCTGCTTTGGAGCCGCAATTGGGCTGTAGCACTGAAAAGACTGGACAACGGCTGGATTCTTGAGGGAAGTAAATATAGCCACGGGTCTTCTGATGGTGAACCTTTCAGGATACTGGATGATGGGCGGGCTCGATTGGAAGATTTCCGTCCTCATTAATTATAGGTGGGCAAAATGCTGGGAACGTGTTATATTAGAACGCAGTCGTAGTTGCGACAATGAGCCGGTAAAGAGCAAAATCTTCGGCAACTTATAAGTTTGTTTGGTTTGTAAGTAGCAAGGAATGAAGAGCCTGGTCGGGTATGGGCACATCCTGATGATACGCGAATGGGTCTAGATAATCTTTTAGGAAAATCCTTCTTAGGTGCATTCAATGCAGTCAACTACTACTCAAGCTACTTATCAACCCGGTTGGCCGCTGCCAAAACCGGTAGCATGGTGACAAGGTGCTTCCAAGAGAACCTAGAACGAGGCGCATGAGTATGCGCTAAACCGTGCTCAACTGCCGGACACCCTGGCTGTGACTGGTCAATAAGAAACACGGCAAGGAATTTATTCTACTTAGAAACCTGTTCTAGATCCAAGCATTCGAATTCCTAACAGACGGCTGCAGGATCCAGAACAAGCCAGGCAGCGGGCCAGGTCTCACTGTAGGTTTGGGTCTGTCGTCAGACCAATTAACGTTGCAGGGGGCGGGGCTTGTGACGTAGTTAGCGTCCAACGGATCGGGTCCCTAAGCACTGGACGTACCCTGTTACAGACAGAAACTCTGGACCCTGACGCTCTTCTCGGACTAGATCTTGGCAAAGGCAGCGAGCCGGGCGCAGTTCCAACAGCAAGATCATAACATGCCATGACGAAAGTCGGTTCCTTATCGCCAGAGGCGCTAATGCCAACTATCTGGGAGGGAACCAATCCTCACGTCTTCCTTTAGCTCCCCTGACGGTTAGAATTCATATATATATATATATATATATCCAACTTGCCCTCGCTTGTGGTCGGCCATACTTTGCAGTCTTCCTCTTAAGAGCAACGCCAATTACGTATTTTCCACTATATATTCCTTTCCAAACCTATTCCTCATTCACCATGGATATGCTCAACAAGTTCACTGGCGGTAGCAGCAGCAAGCCGGCCACCACCACCACCACCACCCAGAGTGGCAACAAGCCAGACATTGGCGATAAGGGTATGTTTTAATGACAGCTACGTCACCATGGCGGAGTAAGGCTAACTGTAACAGTTTTCGGTGGCATTCTGAAGAAAACAGGACATGATTCGCAAGTGTCAGAGTCAAACCGAGAGAAAATCACAGATGGTGTGCGCGGATTTTACGAGAAGACGACTGGGTAAGCGTTCTGGTTCTGAAGGCGCGCATGCGTGGACTGACTAATTCCGAACAGCAAGAAGGTCAATCCCAAGATCTCAAATTAGCCTTGCCGTCGAAAGCCTTACCCCAGCCCAAGCGCGTTCAAGCACTCTGCTGGGTGGATATAATCACGCTTACGTCAAGAGCAATGTATTAGAAGATAGTAATGACTTACGATAAACACCAAATACCATACTTTGTGATAATGTTCCACAGCACAGCCAATGTGAACGATAGCTCCAATCACAAAACTGAACCCTCGTATCCTCCTGCGGAAACAGCCCCAACGCCCTGTATGCCAATACATGATCGCCTCGTAAACCATACAATCTTTGTTAAGCACTGCGTTTTTCTCCTCGGCAACATGGCGAGCTGCCTCGAGTGCATCTGTTATCATGAGTCGTAAAAGACTTGAATAGCCATGATGACAATCCAAAGCAGAAACAACACGCCTATCAGGGCAAAGGACCACGCAGCTTGCCAAGATTGACCTGGATGTGCCGGATTAGTCAGTGTCACTCCTACCAAAGCAACATGGGAGGCCGGGCTTACAGATACTCTTCTGCTCCAACCACGCCAGTCTCCCTGTGGTATCGAGGCTGTTTGGGTCTTTGCTGAAAACGAGCATGTTGCAATTTGAATTGACGGAGCCTGTTGGGCCCCAGAGCTCTATGCTGACGACAATGAGCCCTACCATCCACAGCACGAAGAACATGAAGGCCCCCAGTATGACGATGGATGGGAGCAGACGGCGTTGCGATATGAGCCACAGAAGGATGCCAATGAAGACTATCGTGAGTCCCGCGACCGTGATGATGTAAGGGAAGTACCTGTGCAAATTTGTTCATCAGCTCTCGCTCTGGCCCAGCGGATAAGACGTTCGGGAGTATACGTACCAGGGAATGTACAGGCCGAGCGTCTGCTGTTGGCCGACGAATGTCGCGAATATACCGATGATAGTGCACGATGCGATCAGCATGATGAGCATCCAGACGTTCAATTGCACGGCCGGCCAGTGGTACTTGTGGATCCGGGCCACCCGCCGTTCGTAGATGAGCGAGCCCGTTCCGGTAGTGACTGTCGATGCCATGGTGTGTATAGTATATATGTGCGCGACACCAATCTGTAATGGTAGGATGGCTCGTTCTCGCGATACCGTCGGCAGGGGCGCTGGAACTGGGTATCTCGACCGCCCAAGACAAGACCTGGGTGCTTCTGAAGGCTTTCCACCTAGCCCCGTCTCGGGTGTAATCGCAGTACCACCACAGAGGGTGTCGCCTCTTTATACGCGTGGTGCAAGGGCGGTGGGCACGAAGTGCGCGCAGGTCGATTGCGAACCGAGGGGATTGGGTCGCGAATAAATAAATGTCGGGCTCGAGTCCAGGGCACGCCGTCCAAGATGTACAGTGACAGACCAAAGCAGCCCGATCACGAGCCTCGACGCGCAAGGAGAAGCAGGCTCGCCTGGATGCCAACTCACGAGCTTGCGTTGGCGGCTGGGGATTGATTGGGAGTCGGGCTCTGATGCGCCGGGGGACGCAGCGCACGCATGCAAAAGAGCCCCGCGACAGTCCGGGTTGTGGAGTCGCGGGTGAACTGGCGGTGGCCAGGGGGGTCGAAGGGCTTGGTGTCGCGGGTCGTCGCTGGGTGGTATTCACCAGGTATCCAATGTTGCATATGTAGCTTGGGATCAGAATCACAATTCTCGAGGACCGACGAATGCTGTGTATTCGGGGGGCATTGGCAATGGCAAGGGCTGCAGAAGGCCTTCTTGATGACAGGGCTTCTGATCCCGTCGCAAACACAACGCCAACTACGGCGTGAGATGATCCCTGGTGTCAGATCGCGCAGCGCAGCGCATCGCGTCGTGTGGGCTGGGGTTGGGGGTCGGGGGTCTGGCGGGAGCGCAGCAATTTCAACGGGTCTGCAGAGGCCCTCACAGGGATTGTCTAGCCCCGGCAGGCTGGGCGGATTGTGTCGATGGCTGGCTGCAGCGCCTCAGCCAACAATTCCTTTGCGCCGTTCACTGGCAGCTCACTGCATGGGCAACGACCGAGACAGACAGTCAACCTCCAAGATAACCTTGAAGTCTGTTGAGCAATCCTCCGAGGCTGGGGCTGAGTCTTTGCCGCAACCATCCCTAACCATCCCTAACCCAGTTCTCGTTCGTTGCAATCATTCCTGCTTCCTGTCGCTGGCAAGCTGGCAAGCTGGCAAGGTAGCAAAGTTCGCTGCTACCCAGGTACCTTGGCTATCTGACTACCAGTCATCCAATCCCAGTTGATGTCTGTCGTTGGCGGAGTCGGCCGGATCGTCTCCTGAGATCGCCCGCCATTCCCGCCCTGTTATGTCTAATCGGGTGGCTGGTAACTTGACCCGTACAATGGGTTAACCAAATCTGGCAGTGCTGGGCAGGGCCCGATCCCGTGGACATCTCGGGGCAAGATCAGAAAGGGACAGCTGCCGGGATTCGAGATTCGTCATTCCAGATTCCAGAATTCTAGATTCCCAATCCGAACAGCATGTTGGGCCTGCCCTGGCGATGCCTACAGTCTATCAAAGGATTCTACCCGTATTACGCCAGTGTCTCCGTGCCTTGACCCATTGTCCATGCGAATTCGTCTATACTCCCAGCACTCTGCCCAAACCCAGCGCTTATAGAAGCGACTCGCCCAGCGCGCACCTCACCAACGAGCAGCCGGCGCGCACCGTCTCCGATGCCCCTACGTGATCCGTTGCCAGGCTGGGGTTGACCTCGACCAAGTCGACAGCCACCAGGCTACCGGTCTGATGGACACTCTCGCAGATGAAATCGCCTTCTCTGAGCGTCAGTCCGCCGCGGACAGGCGTGCCCGTGCTAGGCGCCCACATGGGATCCAGCGCATCAACGTCGAAAGATAGATGGATAGGCGTGTCGTTGCCAATGTGAGCCAGCGCCATCTCGACGACCCGACCGATACCGTGCCTGTGGCAGGAGACAGAAGCCGTCAGCCGTGGACCTCGCTGGGGGCAGCACCGTGTGCTTCGGGGATCGGGAGTAAACTCACTTGTCAATGTCAAACATGCTGAAGGCCTTGATGCCGTTCTCGCGCAGGATCCTCTTCTCGCCGGGGTCCACGTCCCGGAGACCGATGTACACCAGCTTCTTGACGCTCAGCAGGTGGTCGTCCTGCAGCCAGCCAAAGTATTCGGGCTTCTTCTCCTTGGCCAAGCCCGTGACAAAGGCCACAGGCATGCCGTGGACGTTGCCCGAGTCGCTGGACTCGGGTGTGTTGATGTCGGCGTGCGCGTCGACCCAGATGACGGCAATCTCTCGGCCCAGGCGCTCGCGCATGGCCTTGGCCGAGCCGGCGATGGTGCCAATGGCGATGGAGTGGTCACCTCCCAGCGTCAGCACCAGGCGACCCTCCTTGGCGTGCGAGTAGACCTGGTCGCACAACTTCTGGGTCACGTTGCTGACGGCCATGGGGTTCTTCATGTTGCGGTACGGGGGGTCCTCCTTGGGCACGAGGTCGGTGTACAGGTGTACCTCGTCATCGCCGTGGAGCTTGTAGTTGAGCTCGTCGCGGAGCTGGGTAAGGAGGCCGGACTCGATCAAGGCCTTGGGCGCAGCGTCGACTCCTGCCTTGCACTGTCACGCCATCTTGGTAAGCTGGGAGGTCGCTACACGGGTCTAGGGTTGTGAACAAGCAAACTTGTGCTATCACACCACCGGCTGATCAGGACGGGCTGGCTGCATACCTGACCACCCGAGAAGCCAACGGCGACGACGCCAATGTCCTCAGGGTGGGAAAGGAATTTGGACTGGACCATGGAAGTATTCATCCTGTCCGATACGCTCTTGCGAGGCGGGTTCTAGGACGTTGGGAACCGAAGAAGAAAACGAAAGTAAAAGTAAAACTAGAGCTACGACAGCTTGGATACCGGGCTCAGAGGCTCTGCTCTGTGACGCCTGTCTACGTTTGCGCCGGCTAGCTGTAGAAAGTGAAGGAGCTGCAGATCGACCTGGGACAAGAAACAAGAGGGTTTGTAGAGGAGTGCTTTGTCAAGAGATCTCGAGGTCACCTAGAGAGAGGCCTTGCCTTTTTGTTTCCCAGAGGGGCAATGGGCTTGTTAGTAACCCCCCATGCTCCCAGGTTCTTGCTTGTGATGGTGGGGTCGCTTTAGTCATTCCCAAGCCTTGGACGGCACTATGGAACGCCTGGCATGTGCGCTAGAGGCCTGTCCCGGCCGCCCTGGGCTCCCTGACAGCCGGCGGCGGGGCCACCACGGGGCGCCCAGTGCCTACCTAGGTACCTAAAGGTTTCCAGAGGAGCCCGAGAACCCAGCCCTGGGAGACGCTCGTCAAGCTCGTGCAGCAGCGCACAACGCCATGGGTTTGACCTCGACACATAGCTTGAGGCAGTCCCTGGCAGCCCACGACGTCTGCTCCGCAGCGCGGGCGACATGGCCGTCAGCTGCCTTTAGAGGTATAGCAACCCGGTGTAGGGATGTGATCCAGGTAAGCTGATGGTCCTCGTGAGCCATGTCCGGGGGGAGAGGGCCCCCCCCTATGCCGCCTGAACCCGACGCTTTCCCTGCCGGCTTGCCAGCTGCCAGCACGGATGGTCCAAGGGGCCAAGGTTCCGACTGAGGCTGTCTGGTGGGGGGCCAGGGATGTCGAGCTGAAGCTGCCCGGCTTTCCAGTTAATGGCAAGGTGTAGATATTGTCGTCGGCTGGACTGTCACTTAACGGCAAAGCCTATGTGATCTTCGGCTGCGTTGTCACTTAACGGACAAGTATTTGTAGTCTTCGGCTGCATTGTCACTTAACGGATAGGCATACGTGGCCATTGCTTATCGTTTACATAACGCCATCGACAAAAGCCTGGCTTCGTGTAGTCATACGTATCACGTCGCAACCGACCATGACTCCGAGACCGCCTATTGCTGGCCGTCCTCCCGGGTCAGCTGCACCCATCCAGAAGTTCCCCAAAGAGGTCTGCCGATGCACGCGGCCGGACGGCGGCCTTGAGGTATTTTACGAACCCTGGGTACGCACGGCGTAACTGCAAGACTCGCTCCATCCATAATCGGTCGTGTCTGGAGCGGTGGAGGTCCACGCGAGACCCCTGCCGCTCGCATCCCGGTCTTGCCGCCGGCCGTCCATCACGGCTGAGACCACCCTGCCGATTGGATAGCCCCGACATCATCGGCGCCGTATCCAGGTCCCGATGCACCAACCTTCTCCCGTGACCTCCAGGTGGTAGAGGCACTATCGATACCTGCCACTCCACACGTGGGGAGTTCAACTTCTGAAGTCTTTGAATTGAAGCCCGGTGGGTTCGAACAGCAGCTCACTATGCCTGATTCCTGAATGCATGTACCTAATGATGCACAAGGTCTCGTACACTTCCAGGATCGGCCTGGTAGACCCTCCGCACGGAGGAGCAGAAGCCCCAGGGACCCCGTAACTCTCATGCCATGCGTCTATTGAGCCCGCGTCACTTGATACCATTTTCTAAAGTGTCGATTTAGTAAGGCCGTCGTTTAAGTCTGGGTAATGATCAAAGCTTAGCTGTTGCGGGTCTGGCACGCTGGCTCACACCCTCATCTGATCCAAAGGACATCCCAAAGACTATGCCCAATCCGATGAAACAGGATTTATTATGCTAGAGCCGTATGTGGTGGCACTCTCTAAACTATAGTATTATGGGCCTCGCTACGTCCGGATTGTTCCCTCTATCGCTATTGAACCCCATAGCCCATTGGACACAGTATGGACACTGGTCCATACCAAGCGCAGACATGTTCATCCCACATCTTCTTCTCCATCACAAAGCCCACTCAAGATCTGAGAGCTTCCAGCTGCGGCATTTGGTACCCCAAAGCCGTATGCGCCACCCCGCTCGGTTCATTTATAGCCTGATCGAGGCTGGCTGTCAGAGATGCCACTTTCCATCAGGTACGGCATTTCTAGGCTTGGATAGCGGTAAATCACACGGCTCGGGTGTAACCAGTTGAATAGCAGTGCAACAATGACCATGGGCAGGGAGTCGAAGATGTAGATCCAGAACTCCTTCGACTGTACCTCGCCTCCTCGTCCTTCAACATACTCTGCAACGCGATAGATTGACCGAATCATGATCAGCATACTGGTGGCGTACAGGGCGTAGAGCAGTGACTTCCATGGCACTGCTGCAGTGACAGCCTTGCTTGTTGGCTCGTTTCGTATACGCCGGTGAAACATGGCGGTGACCACGCAGAAAAAGCCGAAGAACAGGATCTGGATGCCCAGCCCGCCAAGAATGATGCTTTCGCCTCGGCGGACATCATCCTGGGACTTGGCCGCGGTCATGATCCCTCCACCTGTATATCATGGTAAGTTCCATACACCCACGCAAGGCGTACATTGTTGTCTCGAAATGGGATACGTAAGGCTTACCTCCACCTTGAACAAAGAAGGACAAGACATCCCCCAGCACGAAGAATTTTGTTAGCCATCTTGGCCTGATCATCGAGTAGTTGCCCGCCTCAAGTAAGACAACGAGTCGACCCAGGATCATATATATCGACGCGGCGAAAAGTGTTGGCCCGAGAAGAAGCAGGACGGACTGGATGATGTACGGGTTTTGGGTGAAGTCGGGATACTCAGTAGATGATATGGCCCGCCCAATGTAACCCACGGTCTCAACTATCAGTTAAACTGTTAGCTAATGTCCGGGCTACTGATTGAGAACTTGCTGTTGACTCACAGAGACAGCCTATCACGAACGGGATAAAATACCACGTTCTGTTCTTGACTAAAAGCCATAAATGGTAACCGGCTGAAATCCCAAATAACACAATCAAGATGACAGCCGCAGCCATTGATGGCTGGTAGTCGTAGAAGACGAAGTGATTCAAGTTGGCCATCGTTGTCTATCAGAATCGAATTCCCTGCGCTCTGCTAATGGGCGATAATCGTGAAAATACGGCAGGTCGAATGTCCCTTGTCATTGACTATATTGTCTCGACTGGAATGCTACAGTGTACTTATACGAAGGCTTTTGAATCTGAGCTTGCTGATCGGCTGCCTAAACAATGCGAATGATTCATGCTCGAAATGACCCTCAACACCGGATGTGGGTACTGAATCCCGAGACCTGCTGCACCGAGTTTAATTCAAAGGGGGCTCAGTATAAAGCTGTCGTAAGCCTCTCCTGTCCAAGCCTTGTGGGCCACGAAGAATCGAGATAGGGGCCCACCCACATCTCGCATTATCCCGACGCTGCCTCTATGGGAGACACCGGCAGCTCGGGTTTCCGAATCAAGACAACCAGTTGCCAAACAGTCGCTCTTTGCCCTGAGCCAATCTATTGCTATGCCAGCTCGACGCTGCGTCTGATCTTCACTCTACAAGATGTTATCAGCTAATTAAATGCTAGGCATATTGGACACTTCGTGAACTGCAGTGGAGGATCCTAATACCCAGGTACCCATCCTATTTCCTCCATAGGCCACCTCACCCACAGTCTATAGTTGACATTCAGCATTGCATATATCCGCCCCATGAGGTGCAGTCCCCAGCCCTCAATCCACCAATTAAAATCCAACCGTCTCAGAAGGATGCAGAAAAAGGCCAAAATGCATAGTGCCTCGCTGTCAGCGTCCCCCACCAGCTCGATATACTCAGTTTTAATCGCAAATAACCAAATAAAGACACCCCTAGCCTTGTTCTCATCCGTTTGACCGCTTTCGTACACCAGGTAGAAGCTCCGTTTTAACGAGAGCAGAGCATCGAGAAGTGCTTCCAGCTTTGGAGAGTCTTCAGGAACACACGCGACTATATTAGCCTCCAGCTCTCGGAAAGCCTCGTTTTCGAATGTGTGAGCAACCCAGATCCGGTGCGTTTGCACTCCAGTCTCAAACATGCCTGATATCGAAGACGCATGTAACATGTCATGTTCCGCATGAAGCACCGCACGAACACCTCGAAAGAGATAGAGCCAATCCGGAACGGCGTGGTTACTCGCAAGGAGAAAATCCGTAGGGTCTTTCGGCTTGGCAAAAACGAAGAACAGGTTAATGGTGCTAAATAGGAACAGGGGCACGCAATTCTCGCCGTTGATATTAGGATACAGCGGTGAGGCTGTGGCCAATGCCGCGTTGTGATGGAGGATTGCCTGAGCGACATAGAAGTCCTTGCGCTCTGGCCTGAAGCGTGCAAGATGCAGGGCCGAGAGTGACAATATACCCCTTAGGATGTAGTTTGTCTCGAATCCCATCTGTGGTATGTTGATACGCCAAAAGTTGCGTGCTAGTGGTTCTGAGGAGAGTGTCAGACATACTGACGTAGTGTAGTGATGAAGAAGTTCAAGGTCGGACGCGATGAATCCAGCGGATTTGCCTTCACACGAGGGGCAGGATATAACTGGTAGGCTAGCCGTAGTATGGCTGGCTTTTTCTCGCGAGACAAAATCGCAATCAACCCCATGTTTCAAGCAGTTTTGGCACGATGGCCGTCCCTCGTCGCACTGTTCCGGTCAGTATTCGGTGGTTGAGTGGAAACAAAACTTGACGTCACCTTGATCTTGCGCTTCTTGCACCGCCGACACCCAGTCTTGGACTTTGGAAGTCTCCTTCGGCTTTCTTCTCCGGATGGCGGCGACATGATTGCATGGCGAAGGGTATTCCACACGCATGCAAGACTAGCCAGATAACCCTCTACTTCGGCTTCATCTCGCATTTAGGGTGCTTCCTCAGACCGGAGATCCGTCCCGCGAACGCGGGTCTCCCGAGTCAAGTATAGTCTAGATCAAGCTAAGCCACAGTGGACTCGTGGACATCTCGGGAATTTCGCGTTGTTCGGGTCTCTTCCCACTAGCGCCGAGTCATACACGCGAGCTACTCGGAAAGCTCGGCTTACTTCAAGTCATGGACCGAAGGAAGGGGATCTGCATCAACATGTAAAAGTGGTTAGTCCTTCCATTATCTTAGATTTAACCGGGATCGCTCTAATTATAAGAAGTATATTTCGAGAACACCAAAATTTGGTGATTGTTACTACAGATCGTCAAAGCCCGGTTGTTCTACGCCGAACCATTGCAGCAAGTTCCTAGTATGCTGTCAACCCCAAAACCCTTGCCAAAACGCAACGACTTAACGTTGCTTCGCGTGGCGTTGAAGTAGCAGAGGCAACGCTTCTCATCTGGATTCGAAGCAGCAAAAGTTGTTCTAGGTTTCACCTTTCAGTCCCACAAAACGCTGACGAAATCGCACCCACTCCTTAAATGTCAAATATAGAAAGGGTTGAACACCTTGGCTCGTGAGATTACCTGTTTTTATCAGATGCAAAATATATAGACATGTGTCTTACGTTTGGCATTTTTGCTGCATCACAGCTGGGCCAGTTTTAATATCCTGGGTACGAAGCAGATAGCGGTTCAGAAGGCTCAAGAACCGAGGCTACACACATCCAGGGCTGACCCAGAAAGACCTTCTGAAAGAGACTTTTGATAGCTGGTGCTCGATGCTCCGAATTTTACAGCTTTGAGGTATTCTGTAATGTTTAAAGAGCAGTTCTCCACACTGATTGATTATTCCAGATTAAAAGGATATAACATCCAGAACTAGCCGGTTCTCAATTCAATTGAGGCCCTTCACTATAAGACATCAACTATTTATTATTATGAAGTACATTTACTTTACAAACTATTGCCACATACTATTTCGTTAGGTGTTCTGCGTCCCTTGAGATTGGCTATTACTGCCCTGTTCGGTGCCCAAGCTCCATTGCCCATGATCCGTCGATGATCCACCCTCGCCCTCGGTGGTGGTACTGCGACCAGAAAAGAATGTATGTCTCTCCGTGTACCCAGGCGGGCTCGGCCAGAGTCCTCTGTTCCAGACGGCGGGGCGTTTAGGAAGGGGCTGGATGACGATTCTGATCTCGTTTTCTTGCAAACTGCCTGTGCCGTGGGCACTGCGGCTTTCAGCCCCAACGGTATACATCCCAGGGGAGCCAGCTGCTGGGAGATGCTGAGCCATGTATACTTCACCAAGGTTCTGCCGTCTTTCGGCCCCTTTCTGACGATGGCGTATGACGACGTCCCTAAGGAGGTATCCAACCAGGAGGATGAAGACGACGAACGCTATGGTCGAAGCGATGACGGCAGCAATTTGACCAGAATCCAGTCCTCGATAATTTGTGCCTGCGTGAGGTGCTATGGAGGTTGCACCATTGTTACCCGGGGAAGTCGTTGTCTCGGCTGTTGCCATTATGGTGGTGCTGGCAAACGTCGTGTTTCCAAAGCTTGTAGGAAATGTCCTCGAGGTTGAAATCGACCTGGCCGATTCAGTGGATTTAGACGGTAGTATGGCTACCGAGGAGGCTGTGATACTTTTGACTGTTGTGCCGCCTGGTATAAGCGTGACGGTCGGCGTCGGCTGGGACGCAATCGCTGAAGTGCTCGAATGGCTGATAGTGACGGAAGACGAGCTTCCTGCTGAGTCTCTTATACTAGTTGCTCCTGTCGTGGACAATGTCACAGAACTCTCTGGGATGCTGGGTGTTACTTTTCCAGAGGAGATAGTGGGTGCTGGAACGGTGACCGGTATAGGCGTATGGGTTGGCGTCGAAGTCGTCACTGTAGGTACGATGCCGAGAGTTGTGGTAAGTGTGATGGTGATGAACGAAGTCCAGGTAGAGACTGGAGCTGGGGCGCGCTGCTGTAGTTCGACTATTCGAGGCTCCTCCGGACCGGTGTTCTTATGATTATCCAACGAGGAGGGACTGCCGATGGCTCGCAATGCCAATCGTAGCAGGAGGACGAGTTGGGAGAATGCGCTGGCTGACCACATGTTGTGGATGGCCAACCGTTGTGCCGTGCCATTGGGATCGTTACTTGTAAACTGGGCAAACGTTGTTGCAGTGTTGTGCTTGGGATATATCCGAATCCGTGGCAAACTTGCATATATGATTTCTTTTTGCCTCGACAGCCTTCCCGTTTCTTATTACAGCTGAGAAGGGGCCCGCACATTGACCGGAGCACTAGCAAGCAGGGTCTACCGCGGGACGGGAAGTAGAGAAGCAATCTGTATGGCGCACACCTCATATTAACGGGAAGACTATTGCGCTGGCGAGACGGCGTGGCCAACTTGCTCTATTGTACCGCACGTAGAGGCGAAATGGGCCCGCGTCACTGTCGCCTGAGCTGCAGAATATACGATCTTCTACCGTTTTCAGGGGGTTGATCAGGGTCCGAGCACATCTGTGCCGTGCAGGTCTCTGGAACTCTCCTACTACCACAAGGCCGCTCCGGAGGTGCGGGGCTGACAGTTTTGTGTGAATACCAGACTCCAAGATGTGCCTCTCTCGCTGTACGGTGCCTGGTTCACCATGCGGGTACATAAGCGAGTGGCAAACGCCCGCTTCACCCCTATCCCGGCAGGCCAGGCCCGCGAATGATAACGACGCCACAAGAGCATAGCTTCTTTGTAACATGCTTCTTGAGCGCCCTCCACCTTGTACCAATATTTGGGGTGAAGGACGCCGAGTGATTTTGTTCCTACCCCGTGTCGATTCAGGTCGACTCTGACTCGTAAATTGGCAGAGCATGCGCAAACTAGCGATATCGCATTCTTAGGAGGCAGTGGGAGCAGCGAAATAATGATGGTCTTGGTAAAATGTTTTCAGTCTTTATTCAGTCCTTATCATCAACAACCCTGACAGCACCTTGCCGCAAACGACTCCCAACACCTCCAGTTCAGATAACAGACTACCATTATGAACGCCGTGATACCGAAAGTACCAATGGAACCTAGCCGTACACTTTTGTACATAAAAGACCAAAGACCATAGCTGTCGTTATAGTTACAAACCAAACGCCTCTAACTCGCCTTTCCCGACTACACTTAGGCATGACTTCGTGATGAAAACAAGGTGGAGAGCTTCCGTCTTAGACCTTGAATGGGGCGAGAAACACGACGTTGAGGGTTCCGCTACTCCCCAGTCTTCCTCTTGGCCCTTACAAGCTCCGCCACGAGCTCGTCCTTCTGGCGCTCTCCCTCGGCGATCCTCTGCCGCGCAGCAGCTCTGTCTAAATTTCTTGCCTCACGTTCCTGCTTGAGTTTAGACTCGAGCTCTCGCAACCTGAACATCCATTTGTTGTCATTATCACCACCAGATGTGGCTTGTCTCTCCAATTCTTGTGTGGGCGTCGAAACGCTGCGCGATATGGTATTTGCGCGTGACTTGGCAGACGAGGAGGAAGATGTAGTAGCCTCCAGGTGTGTCGTCTTGGTCCTGGACATACCACTCTTCCGGTCTGCGGTGTAGTTGTTCTCACCCTCTGCGGCCTTCTTACGGATGGGTCCAGTGGGTATGTTCGGAGATGGGCTGCCGTATTCCTCTCCTTGCCTGCTTTCACCTTCATTGCGCCAATCGAAGTAACTACCGACAGCCCTGGTCTTAGCATCATTGGCTCTCATTAAAGTAGCGTTTTCAATCTTTAGGGAGCGAATCTGGGCTTCAAGCTGCGAGATCTTAGCTGTCGTGTTGAAGTCGCCGGCAGTCACACCGTTGCGGACGATGGTCTCCAGGCGGTCCAGCTTCTTGGTCCGCACGTGTAGGTTGTCTTCCAGTGTCTGATACTCTTTCCAGAGATCCTTCTCGACTGTCTTGATCCGACCCTGAAAGCCTCCAATGAGAGCCTCGATTGTCTTGACAGCGGCCATGAGATTCTTGCTGAAGCCGGGTAGCATGGTGGCTACAGATTCCAGGCTCGGCAGTGCCCTTCCATTAATGAGGCTATTACCATGTGTCCAGTCTGAACCACAGAGGGCCGCAAGCTTTGTCCAGAGCAACAGAAGCAAGTTGTTCCGTTCCGTAAGCTGTTCCTTGAAGGTGGCCTCCAACTGGGCCAGCTTCTTCTTGTCGAGGCTTCTCGACGTCTCAAGCTCGATAATACGGCCGTCTTGGCTGGAAACGGTGCGGGAGACGTGCTGGTGTGTGCGCTGAAACGTCTCGTACGAGTTTTTGGTGACCCGGTGTGCCTGGCGCTCTTTTTCGAGCAGGTCCCCTAGCTTGCGATGATCCAGACCAAGGGATTCCAGTAGTGCATCACGCTGCTTGATAAGGCGATCCTTCTCCAGCATGGAGGCCTTTGTGCCGTCGAGCTCTCGGACAGTATTTTCAAGTTCGCGCTGCAGCTTAGCAATGGACTTGAGTAGACTAGACCTAGTTCCGTTGAGATCACCAAGGGCTTCCCGCAGGTTGTTCTCTAGCTCCATGAGCCTCTCCTTCCACTCGGTGGCCTCGACTTCTCGGCTCGTCAGATTCTTTCGGAGACGGCGTGCTTCGTCCTTGGCAGTTGTCATCTCTCGGTTGAGCTCGTTGACGAACTGCTGGACATCCTCCTTCTCACGAGTGGCAATGATCTCGCGCTGCCGGCGCTCCTGGAGGAGCCGCTGATCTAGTTCCCTACTACGATCACGCTCATCGCGCAGGCTCTGCTCGGCGTTGGCAATCGCAGCTTCTAGATCACCGATGCGGATTTTGTCTGCCTCCTGCTCCTCACGCAAGAATGCGATCTCGCCCTGGCTTGACTCCTGCTGAACGCCAAGGCGATTAGCTTTGTCATTGGATTCCAGGAGCTTTGCCTCCAGCTCTTCCAGCTCCTTATTGGCATCCGCCACCTCGGACTCAAGCTGTTCGATGCGTTGGTGCTTTGTCTCTTGCTCATCCTCGAGGCGAACCAGAGCTTCACTGACTCTGCGCATCTCTTCCTGAAGGGCATTGAAGTTCTCGGACCGGTCCTGCACCTCGATCTGTAGACGCTGAATCTCTTCGTTACGATGATCAGCCTCGCCTTCTAGAGCGTCGATTTCCTCCTGAGCTTCTTTCCGCAGCACCTCAAATTCGCTCTCCAGGTGCGAGTGGTCTTGCAATGCCTCGTCTCGCTCCGATTGGATAGCCATCAGGTCATTCAGCGCATTGTCCAGTTCCTCTTGGAGGTCGAGAGCAGCCTCTTCTGCTTCTCGCTTGCCCTGACAAGCCGTCTCGAAATCCTCCATGCATGTTTCCAGTTCGCGTTGCAACTCCTGATTGTGTAGCTTCAGCTCGCTGACCCTGTCGCGCTGCTCGGCCAGCTTATTCTCAAGCTCCTCCCGTTCAGGGTCCTCAGCCGCCACAGTAAGCCTCGTGCGTGCACTTCCCCTGGATTGAGACCTCTCATGGCCACCGGCGCGCGATGCCGATCGGTCAAGCAAGCTGTCGATGGTCGATGGTGCAGGACCGCCGCGTCGTTGGGCTAGCTTCATGTCTTCAATCTCTTGGTAGAGCCTCTCCTTCTCTCTGTTGCGGGAAGTGAGCATGGATGTCTGCGCACCGACCTCTCTCCTGAGCTCTGCATTCTCGTGACGTAACTGTTCACTTTCACGCCGGAGTTCTTCCACCAGGGTACTTGACTGACTGATGGAGCCGGGCGCTTCCATTTCACCAGACAAGCCCGAAACAGGCCGTGACCGCGTCGGCGAAGTTGGCTTGCCCTTCCGCGTGATGTTGTAGATGTTTGTGGTGTGGTGCGTGCCGCCCCCACTGACGGCGCCTCCCGATACAGCGACGTTGAGCTCCTGCTTGAGGCGGAAGATGTCGTCTCGCAGCTTGCGGTTGTCATCGTCAGCTTGCTCTCGACGTGCCGTTTCTTGCTCGAGCAGCTCTTTGAAGACATCAGCCTCCTCTTGGCGGTTGATACTATCTCCGAGCCTCTCGCCAGCCCTGTCTCCCATGTTCTTGACAACCTCTGCCAGCTTCCTCTTCTCAGCCTGGCTAGCCATGTTCTCATTCCTGAGCTGCTCGATCTCTGTGATGTACTCCTCGACACGTTCGCGGAGGTAGAGTAGCTCCTCCTCCCGCTCCTGGGCATCTGGGTCGTACGGATGAGCAGACTGTCCATCCGACGAGTAGCCGCTCTTGGCAGTGCTCGGCCTCATGTCGTCCTCATCTCGCAGTCGTTTCTCGAGCTCCTTAACCCTTCGGCGGAGCACCTTGTTGTCGCGCTGTATCACGGCGAGCGACGTCTTGAGCTCGACATTCTCCGAGATCATCTCCTTAATACCTTCCTCGGAGAGTTTATCCAGGCGGTCCGACAGGAACATGACCTTGAGCTTCAGGTCAAAATTCTCCTTGGACAGACGCTCAATGGTGCTCGACTGTTCCTTGAGCGTCAGATTCCTGCCGTTCTTCGCAGCGGTGCCCGGCGCGGGCGTAAAGTCGGTCGAGACCTTGCGGTAGGACTGGGTTGGCGTGTCCAGAACGCCCTTGGTTCGGTATTCTCGGGCCACGGACTCGGGCACCTCGACGTTACGAACGTGCCTCGCGATCACCGTGTCTGTCGGGGCCAGAAGGCCGGTGTTCTTCTTGGCTCTGGGGGTAGCCAGGTGGTCCTCGACGCCGTTGGGCACAGATGATCTGTCAGGTGATCTTTCGATCTCCTCCAGCGGCTCCAGAGGGTCAAGCGCACGGCTTGAGTCCGGCAAGTCCTCGATGCCGGATGCCATACTACCCATGCTTATTGAACGGGAGAGAACGTTGCTGAGACTCCGCTGCATACCGCCAGAGGGTATAGCACCGCCAGACTGAAGGGCGTAGTCCGCACCCAGTCCCACGGTCACGTCGCTCGTCCCATCCTCGTTGGTGAGGAAGGAGGAGGTAGACGACCGTTGACTAGCGTTCCTACTGCGGAGATATTTGGGGCGGGTGCCGTAACGCAAAGCCGCGCCGGGAGTGCTTCCGGCGTCCACGGACGTCTTCTTAAGATCAGCGTCCGAGGTATCGTGGTGGGACCTCGGAGCAATTGCCGAGAAGGAGTCGTCGGTGTCGGGGATGTCTACTCGCGAGCTGTCCCTGGAGGTCGAGGGATACATTTCGCTGGTATTCGAGTCCTCGGCGGGGAGGTTGGAAGGGTTGCTAGCCATGGAGACGGCGCGAGAGGCCGTCCGCATGGCCGCGGCGGCAGCTGGGGAGGACATGGTCTCCAAAGACTCGGTCGTGTTGCCGGCTTCTTGATTCGTACTCATGGCCAAGGAGGCGTCGACATGTGACGCCGGCGTGTTGGAGGCGGGAAGTTGTCGGCTTTCCGCCATGTCCTGGTGGCCATGGTCGGCGACAGCAGCAGAGATATCGGCGTGACTGGACAAGTCTTGATGCAGATCGTCTGGCTCTGCGGGAGGTGTATGTGTTGACGAAGAGGGGCGTGCTGGAGCTGGGGGTGCCGATGTGCCCTGGTGCGCATCCGCAGCTGCTTGGTCAACAGGGTGCTCCCTGGGTGGCCGCGTCGAGGGCCGCGATCGCGTAGAGTCAAACAGGTAGGTATCGTCGACGCCGCCCCCAGGCCCGGCTACCTGCACGGGAGAGAGCGGAGGCACAAAACTGGACTCGATATCTTGGAGGTGAGCGCGAACGTGCTCCTCCTCGGTCATGGAGTCGGCGTGTGGGCCGGAGTCGAGGTCAAGGCTAGACCCCTCGACGTAACTGCTCTCGACCCTGGTGCCCCAGGCCGGCGGGTGGAGAGACGGGATGTTTTCTTTCTTGAGGGCGTGCGACGGGGAGGGAGTCGGCCCGGGGGGCTTCACGTCGCCGTCGCTGTTGACATGATGCTGGGAGTCGGGCGCAGGCTCGGGCTCTGCCTCGGGAGGCGAGACGGGCCCAACCTCGATCGGACGTTGGCCGGCCTCAACCTGGCTCTCTTCTTCATCCATGACTTTGTCGACGCATGCACATGCATTCGGGATGCGGTGGATGGCTTGCAATTGCAGTCCTGGCCAGGCCGCGATTCGTGTTGCGCCTGCGGTGGTGGTGTCGAGCTGGAGGGCTCGTCGCGTCGTCTGCCCTGTGCCCTGTGCCGTGCCCTGGGCCCTGGGCCTGCGGTCTGTGATTTATGTCTGTCTGCGGCTATGTATATGCGTGTGTACGTTCGCGTGTCTGCACTCTCCCAGAGGTGTCTAAGGAGATACCTTGTAACTCGAAAAGAGCTGGAGGTAGGTAGCTGGGAAAGGCAAGCTGTAGTCGGGGGTCTGCCGTAGGGCTGGGGGCGTAGGTGCTGGCGCTGGCGCTGGCGCTGGCGCGTCAAGAAACTTGTAGTTAGACAGCGCGGATGCGATAAGAGCTGCAGGCTAGAGGCGCCCAGGTCGTGCCACCTATCTGATCAGCCAAGACACGAGCTCGTTTTTTGTATACACAGTAACTTAGTTGAACAAGAAGCGCCAGCAACAGACATGAACCAGAAGCAATGCGATGCGACGCGATACGATACGATACGATACGATACGCACGAGACAAGAATGTCAACAATCAATGATGGATCTGATGGCCCCCTGCCCCCTGTCCTCGTCTTCCCTTGCTGGCAGTTTTGCTTGCTTGTTTAAGGCGGGTCTTGAATCTATCTCTGGTCTGTTTGGCCGTGTATGTGTCGGTGTTTGTGTGTGGTGGCCCCGAGCATGGTTTGAGGCTGTCATAATGGGAGGGCAGGAGGGGAGGGGGGGCAGCACCACTCACTCGCTCTGGACAGCCCCCAGGTTCAACGTGATAACTTGCCTCTCTCTGTCTACCTGCAGATTTGATTCTTCACATCAAGGCTCAAACATCGGCTTCGATTGCCGCGAGGTATGAGGTTCTCTTAGTTCTGTTTTCTCGGCTACATAGCTAAGCCTATTGCTGGGCCCTCCCGTGATCGTTACAGGTGAGCTGCCGTCACCCGCACATGTAACTTGGAGTCCCAGGGTCCAAGCTGGCGGGCTGGGTCCACGGGTGCCACTGGACTGCAATCTGACCAAACTTTAGGTCTTCTTGGTCGGCCCGTTGGTTGCTATTGCAAGAAGAGAACCCCTGTCAACCTGTCGTGGAGCGCTGGCCGTTGCCAGGACACCCGGCCGGACACTCTCCAGGGCGGCCCCGGCTTGGGCCAAGCCACCGAAGGCCTGACGTACATAATCCGGGGTCTGGGCACATGGCGCTAGATCCGTCCGTCCAGAGGAAGCTACTAACTGTATGTACTGCGGCAAGGGCCAGGTATGTAACTCATGTACCTATTGAGACATGTCGTCGATCAGACAGATGCCACATGGCCGGCCTTTCAAGGTTACGGCAAACCCAAAGAATTGGCGTGCGCTATTCCTGTCACGATGAAGTCTAAACGATCTTTACGACTCACGACCAGAAGAACCAGAGCGGGATCCCAATATAGAATGGTAGAGCTTGAAAGGCCGCACTTAGTGGGCATTGGTCTCTTGTTTGATCTCCGCCCAATGCACCAGCCTATCGGGATGTGTTCTGGCCAATATTCCCTTGGCGAGTCGTACTGGACGGCGATCATGGTCAAAGAACTCTCAAACTCTCCATTGAGTGTGCGAATCTGGTACGCGGTGGTAGTCGATCCGCTATAATCCCTATCTGGATATTCAATGTAATCATGAGTTTCTGTCTATAGCATATGACACGCCAAGCCTGTCAATGTCCTCGAGCTCAAACTCGCCTTGGCCCGCCTTCCAGGCCGTGGCCGCAATTCTCTCTCTCCTCTTTTCTCCGACTACTGCGTATACTCGAGCGCACCAATTACCGATGGTATTGTTGTCACAGACCCTGCAAATGATCGACACGCGCTTCACCGACCGAACTCAGGCAACAGCATAGACTCCTATTCATTCTATATAGTGGCGAAGGGGTTACAGGAGCCATCAACCTAGTACAACCTCTGTTCGGTGGATGGGTTGGCGTACCTGGGTGTATGCTGACTCGACTCAAGCGGACTGGTTCCCTCGTGAGCTGGCTGGCTCCTTAGCCAGCCGCCTCTCTTGCTCCCAGACCACATAGGGTGCGCAGTTCTTACTCTCAAAACCACGGAAAAAGCCACAAGGGAGGGGAGGCCCAGTCCGCTGGCATCCGGGCCTCGTGCAGAGACGGCAGTGAAGTCCGGGTCACGTATTAACCCGGACAGCGGGCTGACTTCATACCTGTAGTCCGACGGGACTACGGGTTCTTGCACTACCCGACTGGAGGTATTATGAAGCTCGTGACGGCGAGCACGTCTATCGGCGCAAACATGGCGTGACCATCTGCCGATTGGGCCAGTCTTAGCAAGACAGCCCCATGAACCGTCTAGTTCGCCAATCCTTTGTCACGAAACGAGCCTGAAAGTCCTCAGGTTAGATCAGGTAGCTGACGTCAGATGTGGCTGTGCGTAGGGAGTCGGCTTGCACAGCCACTTGAGAGCGACTTCTTGATCAGGAGGATTCACTAGTTGGCAGCGAGGGCTGAACGGACATACCTACATCACTCTGATCTCACAAACAAAACAGTTGTCTCTACACGTGGTGTGACTGCGAAGTTCCCTTCGATAAGTTGCCAGATCCAGCGGTGCAGAGTATCGGCCTTTCTACTTGGCTTCTTACCATCAGCTACCTGCTATAAGTCCGCGCAGTTGCGAATACCCAAATCCCACCATGTCGAGCTCAGATTACTACGGAGGCGGGGGTGGTAGTGGACAGAACTACGGCTACAGCAACTCGCAAGGCTATCCGCAAGGGCAGGGCCAGGGTCAGTCGCCGTACCCCCCTCAAAACCAGTACAGCTCGCCTCCACCGGGACAGTACGGGGCGCCACCTCCGGGCCATTCTCCGGGCCCGTACGGATACTCCGGGAGCCACAGTCCTCAGCCAGGATATGGGGGCCCGCCGCCTCAGCAGCAAAGCAATTGGGGACATCAGCAAGGAGGATACCAAGGGCCGCCACAGCATCAGCAGTACGGCCAGGGTCCCCCGCCAGGTCCCGGCGGTGCTCCTGCGGGTCAGTGGTTAGGCGCTTATCAACAGCAGCACGGCCAACTTGGACACCAAGGCGGCGGTGGCCATGGACCACTCCCACAGCAGCACGGGTATGGTGGTCCGCAACAGGGCTATCCGGGTCAGCACCAACAGCAGGCTTACCCAGGCCAGCATCAGCAGGCGCAGGGTGATAAAGGCCTCTTGGGCGCGCTCGGTGGTGGTTTAGTCGGCGGCGGCGCCGGCATGCTTGCAGGACACGGCGTTGCTGGTGCTCTAGCGGGAGCGTTTGCAGGGCACAAGGTTGAGGACCATTTTAAGAAGGACAAGAAGGACAAGAAACATAAGGACAAAAAGCACAAGAAGGAGAAGCACGGCCACAAGCGCAAAGGCAGCCACAGCAGCAGCTCTTCGAGCAGCTCTTCCGACTGAGAGGAGGAGGAGGCAGTCCTGGGGGCTACCAGCACACGAACGGCATCATTGATACTCGCGACTTGGCGTTAATAGAACGAGTGACGTGCTGTACTTTGCGCCTGTTAGAGAATATTGAGTAACAAGCGATCGAGAACCTCCTGAACATGAGTTATAGCTATCATGTCATGAGCAGTGGTCTAGGTTCGAGGCTAATCGCGACCGCGTGAGATGTTCCTGCCTTCAAGTCGGAGTAATAGCTCAGTTCCAGGTTCCGACCGCCATATATAAAACTTATAGAACTGCATGATTTCTCAGATAGTGTATTATGTAACTAGCGACCCCTCTGCACATCTGCACCCGCGATGTGGGGTTTCTCCAGGCACATTTATTAGCGTCTTTGAAACGGTCTCGGCAGATGTGCTTTGTGAAGCTTGACGTCACTGGTGGGAATGAATCTGTAGCGCAATCATCAAAGATTCGACTGCTACGCCAAGTTGTCGTGGCGCAGGAGATCCAAGTTAAGTTTCACGGACAGCCAGTATACTTCCAAACAGCCAAATCTGGAACGCAGAAACTGCCATTGGTCAGCGCCGCTATTAGGACACCATGGCAGACCGCCCGAGGTTCTCGAAGACGCAGCTGGGCCAATACTTGGACCGCATCGCGGTGCCTGCGGAGCACCGACTATATGATGTGTCTGGTATTGCAGATGGCGATAAATTCAAATATCTATCGCTTCTCGAGAAGCATCACCTGATTCGGATCCCGTTTGAGAATCTCACGCTGCACTACTCGTGGCATCGGGTCATCGACGTGAGCCCTCGGCACTTGTTCAGCAAGGTTGTGGCGCACCCCAGCCGCGGAAGGGGTGGCTATTGCATGGAAGTCAACACTCTGTTCCATACGCTGTTGTTGAGCCTGGGTTTTGACGTCTCCATGGCCGGGGCTCGAGTCTACGATCCCGGCAGGCAGAGGTATGGGGGGTTCTCGCATTGTGTCAACATTGTCACGGTTGCCGGAGTCCAGTACATGGTAGACGTGGCCTTTGGTGCAAACGGCCCTACGCGACCGGTTCCAATGGAGCCGGGCCACGAGGGTGTCCACATTGAGCCTGCCAGCGTGCGACTCGTCAACGAACCGATCCCGCAGAATCTGAACCAGCGCAGCAAAGTCTGGATATACCAGCACAGGATCAACGAACATGCCGACTGGGTGCCGATGTACTGCTTTGTTGACTTGGAATTCATCCCTGAAGATATCCGAGCCATGAACCTTTCGCCGTGGAAGAGTCCAACATCATTCTTCACCCAAAAGATCATTGTCACACGTTTCACGACAGCCGCGGAAGACATCAGTAGCCCAAGTCCTGGTGTCCCGAACGAGGCAGCTGTACTTGACTGCGGAATTGATGGCGCCCTAATCGTTGATCATGACAAATTCAAATGGCGAAGAAATGGTGTCACGGTTCTGGAGCGAACATTTGATAGTGATGATGAAAGACTTGACTACCTGAGGCGATACTTCGGCATTGAGCTAGCAGACGAGGACGCGGATGCCATAGCAGGAACAGCAGGACAAATTAGCAGGTGAAATTGAGCACCAGAAAGGGACACCTAAAGTACAAGCTTGCCGCATGTTCAAAGCTGCTCTAAGTCATGGCCATTGAGAAAAAAGAATGCATGGCCGTTGAATGTCATCTTCTAATGTACACCAACGATTATGTGTGAACTGAGTCGTAGCCGAATCGACCTTTTCATTACGACCGTTCCGTGACGGTCACCCTGTTGCTTTTGGTCGTACCACTAAACAGGATGGCACATCGTGGGCTTCTACAAACCTAACGGGGCTAGGGAGGTCTGTGGCCAGCCTTGAGTGTCAATCGCTCTTGGCATCGCTGCCTAGTCCGTCTCTCGACTTGCACTCCTTCTCAAGCATCTTGAGTTTCTCGAATCTCTTCTTCTCTGCCTCTATCTTCTTCCGTTGTAGATCCGCTCTCGTGCGATTTGCCCAGGCCTCGAGCTCCTTCGGACATCGAATGCACCAGAGCGCAACCTCACGAGTAGCAAATGTGTCCTCAACACAGTCGTGGCCTTTCTTACCAGCCTGAATAGAAAGATTCGTGAGAGACTTGGCCAAGTCTTTGAGGCTCCAGATCCTGTCAAATCTTTCTGCCTCGCCCCAAACAGCCTCAGCAGTCTGCACTGACGTGTCAACGATGTTGGCATGAGCTAGGCGCAGTATCTGCACGTCACCAATGATGTCGTGTCCTATGAGGATTGTATCCGAATCGATGTACCTTAAGAGCTCGGTACGAGCTGATTTCCAGCCATGTAGCAATCGGCCACTGGAACTGGCGGCTAATATTGCTGCCCAAGATACGCCACTCCACCTGGTGCGCCAGTTTGTGACCCTCTCGCGTGGACGAATCAGCTTGTCGATGAGAACTTCGCCAGTCAAAACATCAATTGCACACAGCTGGGCGAGCTCACTCCTCTCTCCCTTGTCTTGAGGCCGCCCGTGTAATACGCTAACCATCTCGCAGTCGAGCGCCACAACTCTTCGGGTAAGCCTGTTTGATCGCGCCGGGGCTACGATGAAGTCTCCGGGGTTTATACCTGGGGAAGTGCTGAGTCGAGCCCATGAGCCGTAGTTAGAAGGCGTCAAAAACTTCTTCTGCGCCAAGCGCGGGATAGACACCCTTCGAAGCTTGACCGCCTGGAAGAGGAGCTCTTGGTCTGCGGTGGAAAAGAGCATGTATTCGTTGTTGCCATGGTGTACAGAACCCGCCGGGCTGACATCGACATAGGGGTATTGCGGAGGGGTGAGAAACACCAATGACCTGGGCTCCGGAGGTCCAACTACACCATGAATTAGCTTGCATTACTCATCGCTATAACCTTCTTTGGTGCTTGTATGTCTCGCAATGATAGTTGTCGAGACTTTTCTTATATTGCCAGAAGACTACAGAGTGCAAATGGGGGTTGACTCACTATTGTCTCTTCTATCACTCGGCTTCTGCGAGTCTACAATGCCGCCATCAGGGTAGGATCTCGACTGGGGGCGCAACTCTCTTGGTGACGCTCCATGGCTTGTTGCTGATTCGGCATATTGCTGGCTTGCATCGACTGGGCGAGTTGGAAGAGCAGGGTTTGTTGGAAGACTCCGGGCTTCACTGCTAATGCTGAAGCCACTCTGAAAGCATTCTGCATGCTGCTGTGCCGGCGTCGGGCGATCAATATGCGGTGGAACGATATCATGGTCCGTGTATGGCTGATTGAAAGATGTGCTGGCATCCTGCACATCTCCATGGAGCCGCCAATGATACCAGTGGCTCGGTGGAACGGGGGGTTGACCTGCGAAGGGCGACAGCGATATTTCGCTGGGGGCACCAGGCAGCGGGTCGTGAGGTTGATGATTGCTGATGTCGTTCCATTGATGGCGATGCAAAGCGCGAGGGTCGTCGAACAGGGTTCGGCATGGATCAAAATAGCGTCGAGCCATGTGCCCTGTAGAAGCAGCATGCATTTCTGCGAGGCGCTCTGTGTAAAAGTCGAAGCCACAATCCTCACACCTTGCGGCGTTGCTTCCGCCAAAGGAAGCCCCAGTCATTGTGGTTGAAGTGAAAGAATCAGGCTCACGATATCAACCCGTCAGGCGCCGCAGACTGATCTTGAGGTAGTCTCGGAAAGTGTGCTCGGATGGTGCGTTGGTTTGTTCTTGGCCATGCGCTTGCCTCAATACGATCCATAGATACTGTGTTGTTGACTTGTGTTGACAGGGCAGAACCCGAAGCAGGTCGAGTGCGGGTGCCAATAACATCCGAGCTGCTTTGGCAGGAGCTCAATTGCGAACAATTCTCATGCAGAGTCAGTCGGTTGGCGGGGCGGTGAGGTTGCTTGCCCTTCCAGTGGCCAAACTTCATCCAGCAGAGCAGGAAGAACAAATAGGGCACTTCCAGCGAATATGCGCTTGCCTGCATGCAACGAAGCCTTCTGTCGACCACTCGACCACTCTCAACGCCATCGCATCAAGACGATTGTATCGAGACCCGGGTCCAGTGGCCCGATGAAGCCCAATGAAGCCTGGTATCGGGCAGTCACAGTGACAACGAACGCAACACAATTTGGCCCCAGATGCAGTCGCACAATCAGGAATACATTGCTTCATAATTCGTAGATAGGGTATCAAAAGTACGTAAATGAACATACCAAGCACCAAGATATTCAACCCGGCTCAGTCTCTCGACGCCGAACTCCCACCCCTGATATTCAAGCCTCCACCAACCAGAACGACAATGCAGAGAGGCGTTACAGAAGTAGCCTTCTTCTGTCCAGCGCCCGGCGAGTCCACGCCGCTTTGCATCTGCCTGATTCCAATCTACATGTCCCGAGCATCCCAGGTCGGTTCCGTCGTATCGTCGGTCCGATCAAGGTCTCTTACCACCGAGTGGTGCTGGCAATGATTGCCATGATTGCCGCAAAGGCCCAGGCATATGACCATATCTCTTTCGTTTTGAGGGTGTCTAGTGCTGGACTTCGGCTATGTAGAGGGACACCCAACACGCACAGGCTTGCCACAAGGAAGCGTCCTATTACCCCGAATCCTGGACCCCACGTCACAATGGAATACACTAATGTGAAAGCCAGCAAAACCTGTAACATGGTCACAAGGACAGTCACTGCTGAGTCATGCCGTATACTGGGCACCCTGTGCTGAGGCGATTGGTCCGTCGCTTGGATGCCCGGGAAGCTGACATCCTCTCGCGGTAGTGGCGTGTCGGCGCCATCTTCGTCCGAGTCATCGTCTGTGTCTAGTTCTCCAACGCAAACGAGTCCATCGGTTGCGTCGAGAAACTGGGTTTCGGACTCTATGATCGGGGCGTGTGTTGCTAGGTAGCCACGGTACTCATGAACATCGGCAAGCGTAGGTGATTGTAGTGACTTCGTGGCTTGAAACGATTCCAGAACCCGGTCTTCTCTAAGTTAGCCAAAGCGATAACAAGAACGCGACTGGCGAACAACAAACAGACAGTACGGAACTATAAGAAGTCAAAGCTACCTATGCTTTCCTTTTGTAGTTAGGAACTTGCAAGTTGGCGCTCTCGACAGTTCTGCGAAGGGGCGGCCACCTGAGAATGACGCCGATGTATACCGTGCCAAGAAGCATGGAGGTAACGAGGCGGGAGTAGAAAATGGGACTCACTGTACTGTTCCAGCTTGAACCCTATCTTGCCCAATACATCCGTCTTGTGCCACTGGAGCTCGCCAGCCGACAGAGAATCTGCCCTTCGGGAGGAGGGCAATATTCCGTTTTGTAGCCGTCTGTTCTGTGTATCCGCCGTGTCGAGCCTGTGTAGTTGCTCCTCTAGCTCGCACAGCTCATCCTGGAGGTGTAGAAGGAGTCTGTGGTTGAGCATACCGAATCTGCGATATATCGGCCGTAGGGCAGGGCCGGGGCCTTGAGACGAGAGTCGCGAAGCCAACTGCTCATAACCCGTCAGAGGCAGCTTCTCAGCCCGTGGCAGATGCTTCACGTGGACCTGCGGCTGAGCTGGAGCACGTGGCGTCAAAGCGTTCGGTGAGATATGAGGAAGCTTTGCCTTGCCTCGCGGCATTTCCGGGGTGCCATAACTCCGATGGACCTTGGAGGTTGAGATATTCGGACGCTCAGGCCTGGCGTTATCTAGGATCTGCCGCATGTGTGGACTACTAGGACTCTGCTGCACGTCGTCGTCTCCTTTCACCCCGTTGCTCTCCAAGCTGGCCGGGTGATTCGGGTGAGTGTCTCTGTAAATGGACGATAAATCGTCCGAGAAAGCCTCAGAGTGACAGGTAAATGCGTTCTGCAGCGATGCTCTGATGGCCTCTGGCGTGACCTGCGGGGAGTCTGCATCCAAGAAGCTCAGCACATCCGTTTCAGGAACGACGTGGTCCACGGTCTGAGAAGCCTCGCGAGGGCGGGAGCCACCATTGGAAGTACTGTTGGTGACAGTAGAGCCACTTTCGCTCGAGCTACTAGAGTCCCCTGTTTCTATCGAGTCGCTAGTCTCATCTGAGATCCCCATGGGTGGAAGCTGCCGTTCCTGATCACCTGTAGTGACCATCTCAACTGGCTTGTCTTCATGTTGGAGATCTTGCGCTGCATTCAGTCTGGGATCCGATAGCAAGTCGGCCACACGGAATGCCGTGGACGACCTATGGTGGGTCTTCCTTTGGCTTTGGTCCTCATGTTTGCCCGAAGCGGCAGGGCTAGCTTCCCTGGTAAACACACTGTGGCCATCTACAGAGACGGCCTTGCGGTTGACCTCAGAACCAGCAAAGTCAATCCGTTCCATGGTCGACTTCGACGAACCAAGCGCCTTCTGCACACAAGGCCGAGTTGTTCGCGGCGCGTCCTAGGTGCCCAGTATTCGAAAACTTCACGCTGAGAGTATTCGACAGTATACCCCAGGTTAGCAGTCGTCAAGACTATATAGATGCTAAGAGGGCTCCCCTGGAAACGGGCGAGTTGGCGAACCAACTGCGACGAGTGGCAGAGGTTAGACCCTCACCAGGTGGCGACAAGATGAAGAGACGGCGAATGTAACGAAGCGAGCCGATGGTGGGTACACAAGAGAACCTTGGTGGAACATGACGAGAGAAGCACAATCAAAGGGAGTGTAGCCCATGTAAAAGGCCACGAAAGCCACATGCAGGTCTGCGATAGCAAAGTGCGCAACTTGAATTGAGTTTGGAAAATCGGATGGAGCGGGCATGGTGCCAGGTGGTGCTGCCCATATCGTCCGGTGACGACACGACACGGCTATCAGCCTGGCGTGTCAGCCGGATTCCCCCATGTTTCAGATGACCTGAACAGAGCGGCCCAATGTGGTGACACGGCCGCCGCGGGGAAGCGAACGGGATGTGTGATGGTGGTGTAGAGGGGGCCGTCTTGTCTCCTCAGATCCGGGAGATGGGTGGTGACACGAATGGAGGGATAAAACGTATACTAGCACTGGGTACTTGCTGTGAATCAGCATGCGAGCATTCAAGCTGTGCTTTTGCTTCTTGGACTAGGGTTCGCACTATCGAAATGCGGGATTGGGCGAACTGCACGTCAAAACACCCTGCATAACCACCTAGACTGTCGGGAGCTACTGTCATCATGGCAGAGCACGGCCGGGATACCTAGCTGTTGCGGTCAAGCATACATAGTACTCCAGTAAGTCACCTGGTTATCTCCATACCATTTATTCTGTTGGTACTGACGCGACGGTAACTTGCCTGTTTACTGAACGACTTAAGCCAGGAGCTATGTGACGGGATAGGAAGAAACACAGTAAGGTGGCCTGGAGAGTTTGCCAGGAAATGGTAAACGGCGGTCATCGCGCGTGATATACGCTTGATATGCATCTTCCCAGGCACATAACACCCATACATCCGAATTGTTTACATCTACCTTATCCCGTGTACCATGGCCAACAGACTGGCTCAAGATGTACCGAAAAACTTGGGTATCTCTGTTAGCCCCTGCCATCTGGCGCCAGCGCACCCAGCAGTCCGGCTCAGCGAGCCTTTTTAGTGGAGCTCGACGGGCGACTAGCCTTTAGGCTCAACCTTACCTAGGTAGTGCTTAGTCGAGTGTTTTGGGGGCTTGGGGGCTTGGGGGCTGCTACGAAGTTTGTGCGTCGCGTCGAATTTGCTGTGGCGGCAGCTGTGACACATTGGATGGGAGCTTGGTAGCTCCAGTTGTCCCCCGGATCCTCCGCCCCAACACATCGTTGATGCCCAAAATGCCGCGCATTCCTGTCGTCACCCTGAGCAGATACCTGCTGAGAGGTGAGCTTCCACACCGAGAATGCTTGCGCCTATCGCGGCCACTCAGGCCGACCCGCCGACCCGTGCCTGGTGCGCCGTCCTTGGGCTTGCGGCCCCTCCACTCCGAGAGTGCGTCGTCGGCCTCGATGCCGGCATCGATACAGACACCGGCCCACGTACCGCTGCGTAAGCAGATGAAGGATGAGGCCAAGAAGGCGAAGGCCCTGGGGAAGAAGAAGAAGAAGAACGCCAGCAATCAAGTAATCGAGGGTTGGGAGTTGACCGTCGGCATTGAGATACACGCGCAGCTCAACACCGCCAGAAAGCTGTTCTCCGCTGCTGCGACCTCGTTCAACGATGACCCGAACACCCATGTCGCCTATTTCGATCTTGCCACCCCCGGGAGCATGCCCATCTTCCAGCGGGAGACCCTAATACCCGCCCTGCGAGCTGCTCTGGCCCTGAACTGCGAAGTGCAGCCGCGGAGCAGCTTCGACCGGAAACACTACTTTCACTGGGATCAGCCGTCGGGCTATCAGATCACGCAATACTACGAACCCTTTGCCCGGGATGGCCGCATCTGGCTACAGTCCCGGGACGGCATTGCTGCTGAGGACGGTGATGGGATTCCCGTCAGGATCAAGCAGGTGCAGATGGAGCAGGACACCGCCAAGACCATGGCGCAGGCAGAGAACACGCACTGGATCGACTTTAATCGAACCGGGCTGCCCCTAATCGAGATCATCACGCACCCGGATATTCACCACCCGGCAACGGCCGCTGCGCTTGTCCGCAAAGTCCAGATTCTCCTGAACGCGGTCGATGCCTGTGTTTCCGGCATGGAAACCGGTGGCTTGCGGGCCGATGTCAATGTGTCAGTGAGAAGAACAGACGACCCGAACGCGCCTCTGGGCACTCGCACCGAGATCAAGAACTTGAGCAGCTTCAAAGCCGTGGAGGATGCCATCATCGCTGAGCGCGACCGGCAGATTGCTGTGCTCGACGCTGGCGGTGTTGTCGAGGGCGAGACTCGAGGCTGGTCTATTGGCTCCACCGAGACGCGCAGACTCCGCGGCAAGGAGGGCGAAGTCGACTACCGTTACATGCCTGATCCCGACCTGGCGCCTCTGGTTATCCAGAACGACCTCGTCAACCACCTGCAGGAGAGCATGGGCCAGCTGCCGGATGCCGAGGTCGACGAGCTGGTTCGAGACTTCGGCCTTACCCCCAAGGACGCCTTGTCTCTTGTCGCCCTGGACGACGGCCGAAGGATCGAATATTTCTGGAACGTCATCGATGCCCTTTCAGCCCGGCTCGGCCCCGATTGTACCACGAGACTGTCCTGTTTCCAGCTCGCTGCAAACTGGATCCTGCACGAGCTTGGCCGTCTGGCCGCCAACCCTCACGATGACGCCTCCCGGGATCTCATCTTCACATCTGATGGACAGTGCGACCGTGTTTCAGTCGATGCACTGGCTGATATCTTGCACCTTCTTCATCAGCGGAAGATCACTGCCAAGGTGGCCAAGGAACTTCTCTGGGTAGTATATCGCGGCATCGTGCCCTCACAATATGCCAGTATCGTTGATGCGGTGGAGACGGAGAACATGTGGTTCCGCGAGCTGTCGGAGGAGGAGTATAATGTGCTGGCCGACTCCGCAGTCGACGGCCAGGATGGCATCCTGCAACAATTCGTCAACTACAAGCAATATCCCCAAGGCAAGCTCATGTTCTTGGTTGGCCGCATGGTACGATTAGGCCCAGAAGAGCGGATCGACCCCAAGAATGCGGAGATAGTCATGCGGCAAGCCCTCGAAGAGAGGTATATTCCAGCTTTAAGACAAGATGCTTAAGTCCGTGCCAGAGTTATATAGCCGGTTTAGTACGGTATTTGGACAACTACGAGCGTCAGACAGACAGGCACCCCGTTATCGGTTTCCGAATCCTAGACGGCTAGCAAATAATCCAATTAGATATCGTGTGACGCTAATTCACGAGTGACCGTTTAGAGAGGAGGGGGGGTCTATCCGAATGAGTCCTCATTTTACAACCCCGGAACTTGAAAGAGTCTAGGGGCCGGGGGCGGGGGCGGAGAGAGCGGGCCCCACATCTCCGGCTCGGCACATGCAAGTAAGAAGCACGTCATCAAAAGATTGCATACCTACCTGTACAGCGATGGGCGTCTCATCGTATGCCTGCGATATTTCCCTTACATTCAAGCTCACCCCGAGATGATCCAATCAGTCGTGCCCTTGCTAGATCACATCGTGGTGCTGATCCCACATTCGTTCCTGGCCTCCCCGCCCCAATGGTTTGTCGACCTGTTCACCTACTTCCCGGGCGGCCAGCATGCCGACAGGCTGACGGAGAACACACTGGTCTTGCTACCGGACGGCTCGTACATCGAGTTCATCGCCTTCGTGCCCGGCATTGATCCCGAGAAGCGCGAGGGCCACAAGTGGGGGAAGGCTCGTGAGGGGACTGTTATCGACTGGGCCCTGACGCTGCCGGGGAGCGCCGGCGACGGTTTGGGTGAGCAAACCAGGGCGTTCGTCAAAATCCAGGAAGCCGTGCGCGAGACCGGGACCGGCATCATCTATGGGGATCTGGTGGCCGGGGGGCGACACCGGCCGGACGGGCAGCAGCTCAAGTGGGCCGTCGCCGGCGCGTACCGAGACCGAGACGGCAGGCTGGAGGCCGTGGACCCGGGACAGCTTCCGTTCTGGTGCCTGGACGATACGAAGCGGGAGCTTCGCGTGCCTTATATTAAGCCCGGGGTCTCGCAACACCCCACCGGCGCGGTCGGCGTGGCTCTGGTGTCTGTGACCCCGGATGATCAAGCCGAAGCAGAGAGGCTCGACAAGGCGTACGGCGCCATCCTCGGCGGCGACGAGGCAGAGTCGGACTCGATCTGGGACCTCAAGACTCTGGCCGGTGAGGCGCTGCATGCCGGCGGCCAGGTTCGCCTCGGGGCCGCCGCGGACAAGGCACGTCTGTCGATATCGCTATTCACAGGTTCGGGCGCTTTTGTTGGCAAGAAAGTAGGTGGGAAGGTTACAGATGACGTGTCTCTGGAGTTCGAGTTTATTGCTGCCAAATAAATGGCTCTGGTGTCCCGCTTCCGCGGTGACCAAGATGCTATCACGACCAGGGCATGCTTTCTTGATAGTTTGGACTTTTCGAGATGCAGCCATCCTGTTGGGATGCCTCCTTGCGAAGCTCCGAGGCTGAAGATTTCTATGGAGGTACTAAGACATCCCTATTTCATGAATCATGCAATATGATTCCACTGAACAGTGAACGCATGCTCGAAGCTACCATGTTGCCTTGAAGTTTGCCTAGCCGTGTGCCGACGGCCACCACATCTTCCGAGGCTGGCAGCTGCAATGCAAGAACGTAAGGAGAATACTCGTTCAACGTCAAGTTGCTCACTTGGCCTCTGTCTGCTGGACGAGTCACCCAACTACACCACCCAGATTCTGTGATGCCATTAGCTCTCTCAGACTCGTTTCGATTACAGCTGGGAAAGCCTGGAGGGGTTTGGTTGGACGCTTGAATTAGCCGTTTGGTTGCGGGGATGACCATGACAATGACTTGACCAGAACTTGCAATGCCCCTGCCAGTTGGGTGTTCTGTGCGACCGGCTCCCTAAGGGTGGTGGTTCCCCGGTGCGCCTTCGAAAGTCGCACTTGGTGGACATAAACGTTATGCGTCAGACGTCGAATAACCATATAAATCCGAATGTCAAGCAGTTCCGATATCTTATGGACCCGAGCGGCGGCAAGCGAGTGTCTCTTGATGTGCATGATTGTATTGCACGGAGATCAGATGGAAAAGCGGCAGGGGGGTTAGCTTCATCTATGACTGTGGCTGGTTCGGTGTGCCTCATGCGAGGCGGCAGAGTCCGGCACATTCCAGCCTTCGCGCTGTCTGAGGAAGCTCTCGACCCTCTCGTTCCGGCTCAGACCGCCCTGCTCCGTCCTCCGCTTGGCCATGTCGTGGGTGATGGCCTCGTGGCGCTGGTCGCGCATCTCAACGACGTTCATGGTGGTCGTGGTGGCCCTCCTGGCCTGGGTCATGCTGCCGGCCACGACAAAGATGCACAGCACGACAACGAAGAGCTCGTTGCTCATGAAGACGGTCTGCTGGCGCCTGCCGGTACCGGCTTGCTCGCCGTACCATCTCTCCCAATCCTCCCAGGTGGCGTTCATGGAGGGGTTCCCGGGCTCGTTCCGCCAGCTCCGGTCGGCGTGGCGATAGCCGGAGCTGTCCATAGATCGGATGGAGCCCCAGCCTGCACCGTACAGGTCATATTGGCGACGCTTGACGGGGTCAGACAGCACCTCGTTGGCAGCGACGACCAGACGATACCTCTCGAGCCGGGCGGCGTCGGTGAGGTTGTCGTGTGGCACCTGGCGGTGGCGATCGGGATGGTAGACCTTGACCAGCTCATAGAAGCGGGCTTTGCTGTAAGGAGCGTCGCGCTGCTGGTCAAAGATCTGGTAAGGGGTCGGGTTGCGGGCGGAGGGCCAGTGCGACGATGACACTGACGATGACGAGGCCGAGGACGAGGATGTAGCACGGGACGTTCTCCTGCTACTGTCGTGGACGGTGGCATACCGGCGTGTGTGTCGTCGGCACCGTAGTCGTGACCCGGAAGACGACCCGGGCGCCGGTGCGATGGGACGACATGGCGGCGTCGACGTTATCGGGGCAAAGGGCCATATGAAGGCGGGCAGGTTGGAGGAGGAGCAGATGGCCAGTGGCGATGGTCTGGAGAACATGGCGGATGCGGTTGCGGCTAGTCAATGGCGGATCGCATGGTTGTTGGCGCAGAACGAAGCCCGTCGACGGTAAGGCCGGGTGGTCCAAGGTAGAGAAGGAGAATATACCTGACCTGTGTCTGTTCGTCGTTGGATGACATCTTTGAATTGCTGGCTATACGTCAACTTGAAAGGGACTGGACGGACTTGTCGGCGCTGGCCGCCAACCTATCAACCCTGCCTGCCTGCCTGCCTGCCTGCCTGCCTGCCTGCCTGCCTGCCTGCCTGCCTGCCTGCCTGCCTGCCTGCCTGCGTGCGGCCTGCCCCACTAACGAGTCGACCCGAACCAGCGGAGTCGGTTGCTGGCCAAGCAGCAGTCCCAGAAGTCCAGCAGTCCACCCGGAGAAAAAGGAGGGGCCCGCAGGGTCACTCAATGCCCTGGCGCCATTGACAATCGAACTCAATACCGTATTTAACCCTCTCCTAACCAGCTCCCGGATCCAATGGGAGACACTGGACTGACAGCGCACTCAGCCCTGGATTGCTGGACAACTGGAGGCTGGACAGCAGCTCCATGTTCGGTGGCCATAGCTCACGTGCACTGCTGGACCATGCGGATCAGCGGCTGGAGCTCTGGAGCTCTGGAGCTTGGCCTGTCGTGGGCTAGCGCTCGCCTGAAGCCTTGAGACTTTTGGCAGTGCTAGCCCCCCCACCTTCGCCCTTCCAGGTTGACGGCTGTCTGGGGTCCAGCTCGACTTTTATTTTATTTTATTTTATTTTATACTTTTTTCGAGCGGGAGCCAAGGGAACAATCCATGAGGAAGGATAGTCAAGATGGTCCAGTACTGGCTATATCTACACGAACAAGGCATGTACGGAGGGAGTGGTTTGGTCGTATATAAGATTTATATAAGTGCACACCACAGCGTCTTGTCTAGATCCAAGAGCACCGGGGTTGGTAGGTGACCTGGGCTGCGATGGAACCCAGGCTCAGCCATCAATGAGGCTGGTCAAGCCTACAGAACGGCGAGGCAGCAACAGAAATAATCCAGCTGTCTCACACTCTGCTGCTGCTGTTGGCAGGCTTCGACAGCTTCGAATATGGTGGGATTTGGGGACCAACTGCCCGTCGCAGTGCCACGGATAACTTGCATTGCCGATCTTGCAGAGGCTGGGCAGGCAAGTGCCTGTTCAGTGTGTCTTACTGTGGTTTGGGACTAGGTGGAGAGGAGGCCCAACGGGCCTATGGGAGGGCCTGCCTTCTGTCTTGGGCGGGCTGCACCCGCTGTTCGCTACTGAATTTGCAGCACCGCACACTGTATTTCCAGCAGCCAGGGCCCGAACAGGACCACCCGGGGCAGCTAAACACCAAACAAATCCTCAACCTCGCACCTCCACATCACCACACACTTTATTCACATCACCACAACCACCACCTCCGCACCCGCCAATAACCACCGCCCGCCAACAGAAATCTCTGCACTGCACTCCACGGAGCAGCCAGCTCGGCAGTCAAACCCCACGTATAACCGCCATCGCTCTCAGCTTTGTCCACAAGCACAGCTACATCTTCTTCCCTCCCACACAAGACGGGACGAGATTTCTTGGCCGCCCACCTGCAGCCCGCTTCGTCTCGAGAGCCAGCACATATCCGACGGTGATCTGTCGTAGCTGCCTCAATTGACTCTGCCTTCTCTCCCAAATACCGAGCCATCACCCACCCAACGGCTCCAGACCACCACGGCGACTCCTCTTTCTGAAGAGACACCTCGCGAGGTTGCGATACGTCACCGCCAGTGCTGTCCACAGTGCAGTTCTGGTCTGTCCTTCACCACCCCCTCGCCCACGCCGCCACTCCAGAGAACCAGCCTCCAAGGCTGCCTCACCAAATCGGCGACCTCCCACTCTCCCTCGGTAGCTAGCTGCCTGTGATACCTTCAACCGCCCATCGACCTGGTTTCTCTTCGACCCGTCTCCTTCCCGGCTGAGTTTTTGCGACCTCACGAGTTGCCATCCCCTATATCATCCCGTGTCTGGTCACACAAGCCAGACCTCGGCCACGAATTTCCCCTCTCCCATTCGGACGTCGACATCAGACCGTCCTGGCACGACTGTAATTTCCCGCCTTCACGACCACATTCTTCTCCAACAGAACCATCATGACGGACGTATTGGCCGACAAGCTGCGGGCGTCGACACTGAATGACAGCGCCGCGGCGTCGTCGTCGTCCGAGGACTGGAAGAAGAGCCTCAACATCCCCACGAAAGATGGCAGGCAGCAAACAGAGGTAGGTCTCCGTCGTGCCTTGGCATTGTTGTTCATGAGCCAATGGCCCTGGGGAAGCTCAGCTGACTCGGCTTCGTGCAGGACGTTACCAACACCAAGGGCCTGGAGTGGGAGGACTTTTCCCTCAAGCGCGACCTGCTGATGGGCATTTTCGAAGCCGGCTACGAGAAGCCCTCGCCCATCCAAGAAGAGGCCATCCCCGTGGCCCTGACCGGCCGCGACATACTCGCCAGGGCCAAGAACGGCACCGGCAAGACGGCCGCCTTCGTTGTGCCCACCCTACAACGAATCAACCCCAAGATCGCCAAGATCCAATGTCTCATCCTCGTCCCGACCCGCGAGCTGGCCATGCAGACCTCGCAGGTATGCAAGATCCTCGGCAAGCACCTCGGCATCAACGTTATGGTCACCACCGGTGGCACCGGCCTGAGGGACGACATCATCCGCCTGCAGGACCCTGTCCACATAGTGGTGGGCACTCCGGGTCGCATCCTCGATCTCGCCGGCAAGAACGTGGCCGACCTGAGCGAGTGCCCCATGTTCATCATGGACGAGGCCGACAAGCTCCTCTCGCAAGAGTTCACCCCCGTCATCGAGCAGCTGCTGCAGTTTCACCCCAAGGACCGCCAGGTTATGCTCTTCTCCGCCACCTTCCCCCTCTCGGTCAAGGACTTCTCCGACAAGAACATGGTCAACCCCTACGAGATCAACCTCATGGACGAGCTCACCCTGCGCGGTATCACCCAGTACTACGCCTTCGTCGAGGAGAAGCAGAAGGTCCACTGCCTGAACACCCTCTTCTCCAAGCTGCAGATCAACCAGTCCATCATCTTCTGCAACTCCACTAACCGTGTTGAGCTGCTGGCCAAGAAGATTACGGAGCTGGGCTACTCGTGCTTTTACAGCCACGCCAAGATGGCCCAGCACGCCCGAAACCGCGTCTTCCACGACTTTCGCAACGGCGTCTGCCGAAACCTCGTCTGCTCCGACCTGTTGACCCGTGGTATCGATATCCAGGCCGTCAATGTCGTCATCAACTTCGACTTCCCCAAGAACGCCGAGACGTACCTGCACCGTATCGGTCGCTCCGGTCGCTACGGCCACCTTGGTCTGGCTATCAACCTGATCAACTGGGACGACCGCTTCAACCTCTACAACATCGAGCGGGACCTCGGCACCGAGATCCAGCCAATCCCGCAAACCATTGACAAGGCCCTTTACGTTTACGAGAACCCGGAGAACATCCCTCGCCCCGCCAACACCCTGCCATCGCGGTCGCAGCCTTCCAACGCCGCCGCTCAGTTCCCCCAACCCGACCAACCTCAGCGTCAGCCTGCCGGCCCAGACCAGGCCCGCGGCCAACAGGGCGACTTTTCTCGCCAGGGAGGCCGGGGCCAGAATGACGGCCAACCGCGCCAACAGCGCGGCGGCTACCGAGGAGGTCGTGGCCGTGGCAACTACCAAGGCCGAGGCGGCTACAACAACAGCAACAACTACCGAGGAGGGCGATCTCAGCCTCAGTCTCAACAACCCGCCTAAGCCTTGCCCCTCCGCGGTCTCGGTCACGAAAAACCCTGGACATTCACAGAGTTATGTGATGAAGACTTTCCCCGCGATTCTCACTGTACATATTTCGAACTTACATTTGGCTTGATGATTTGTATCATACCCATCGCGACTTGCCCTCATTGGTTCGCTGCTATCTCTCCTTGTCGTCATCGGCAATTGGCATTCCATCATACAGACCGTTCTCCCGACGCATCTGAAGACATGAGGCCTGGCACGGAACGAGGGCCGGACGGTACGGTTGGTTCAACAAAAAAAGGCGTTTCTTGGCGTTTTGCTTTTGGAAGAAAGGAGGAGTTTGTCAAGAGGATAGGAGAATCACTGACGAGATGACATACTTTTAAGGATGTGATCACGTTGAGAGGGTTTTCCATCAACCAGGGTGCATGATGATATGGCGATCGTGGCGGGCTTTTCATACTGAGAACGACCTGCAACGATAAGAGATTGAGAGGGAGTGCTGGCGATTGAGACGACTAGACCCAACTTGGAGGCAAGATACCCTCGGAGCAGTAAGAGACTCTGCTTTATATGGCCCCAGCTCGCGTTGCTGAGGACAGAGATGAACGCGATGCACACAGCATGCTTCATATTGATGAACTAAAGTACCTCGGGTTATATCGTGGTCGGCAGAGTCATTTCCGCAGACTATGAAGTGCCACGATGGTACAGTACCAATATCTTGGACGAACTCGGAAAATCGACTTCCACTACGATTGTTCTCACTGTGTGTGCCACTCCCTCATTGGGATTGCGCTCGTTAGTGTCAGCAGGAGTGGTCCCGAGTGTAACTGATGCACAGAAAAACCAAACAAAAACCTTGAGTGAAACACTGGATGGACTAGGCTGCCCTCGTACTGGCCAAGTTGACGTCGATTGCATTCTGCGGTCGATGGTGAATCGTGGTATTAGTGGGTTAGATAGTTCTCTGAGTAAACCCTGGAGGCGCTGCAATGCAGGCCACCTTTTCCCTCAAATTGTTTCTCCAAAGCAACAGTGAGACAAGGCAGTCCACGTAGCTCCACCTGGTATTGTGTCGCCTTTTAAATTTTGTGTTGTGTCTATGGCTCCATTCCTACCGACTATACTGGTCTGAGCACAAGTTGAACCGGCATGACTGAAATCTGCTTATGTCCGAGACTAGGCCCATCTCGTAATTGATGCGTCACACGAACCTCGGCACCCGCAACTTCATCAAGTGGCACTCGAAAACGCAGAATACTAGACAGCAGCACCGCATTGCAACCTAGCATGTGTCCCAAAAATTACTCTTGATACTCGGCATAGGTTATAGGTTATAGCTGTTCCGGCCCGCTGCCCAGCTGCATCTCGGGCCATGGGTTGGGTAGACCAGGTTCCCCGGGCGGGTAATCTATACATCGGAGGTCTTAGGGCTCTCTTCCAACCAGAGGTCATGCACGAATCAGGTATCACTCATGTCCTGTCCATCGTCGACTACGACGCGGGCGCACGTGACCAGCTACAGGGCCTCCGACACCTGCATATCGACCTGGAAGACCTGCCGAGCGAAAATATCCTCCAGCACTTTGACGGGGCAAACCAGTTCATCGCGGACGGGCTCAGGGGCGAGGGCGGCGTCTTCGTCCACTGTGCCATGGGCAAGTCGCGATCCGCCACCCTCATCTGCGCCTATCTGATGTGGAGGGACGGCGTCACGCCCGAGCAAGCCCTGGACCAACTCTGCGAGGGCCGTCCGGTGTGCCAGCCCAACGAGGGGTTCATGGAGCAGCTGCGCTTGTATCATCGTGTGCTGCGAGCGAAGGACGAGGACGAGAAGAGGGACATTGTCACGCAATGGGAGGGGAATCGATTCCGGGGGAAGGCGTGGGAATGGGTATCAGATACCAGCCGGAATGGGTCGCATAAGCTGTAGAACTCCACACTAGATTAGAAGAAAAGCTAGAGGCTCAACCTTGTGCAATTAGGAGCATGGTGAATGACGAGGTTTACTACGAGCCTAGTGGTTGTATTGCGTTCGCAGAATTGCAGGTAGACACGAGCCTCATACTGTGAAGCAGGATTCTCTTGAAGTTTCCCGAATGCTCATGACAGATTTTCCCGTAAAGTCAGCTTCATTTGACTTCCTAGTAGGGCATAACCTTATTTAAAGTGCACTTGGCCAACGAAATCTACAGCAGCATAATTACTTCAGCACATCGTCACTCAGCTCCCATTTCTAGACATACAAAGTCGGCAGCCTGCACGTAGGCTCCACGTTGCGATAGAACCAAAGTACATCACATCAACTCCGTATCTATGCCACACCAACAGCTGTCATTTCCACCGTATTCCTAAAGATAGAACATAAATTTTTGAAATGTTATTTTTCTTAGCAGATTGCTCTGGCTCGATACTCTCGAGATCCGTAACATCGTCAGGATCGGATCATGCGAAGCGGCTCGCCGTGTTGGATAGGTAGATCAGAGGAAAATAACGCTTGGCCTCTTGACTGTAACCAGTATTGTGTTGGATGTCATCTTCATAGTCTTTCGGGCCAAACTTCTGATACTGATACTTCCCCGGTACCCTCAGAACAGGTCTGCCAGCTCCTGGAGGTTTGGCTCATGACAAATGGTTGGTTGAGAAATGGAGGCCGGAAAAGCCGGACCATTAGGATACTTTCCATCAATAACCTACCTCCTTAGAGTGATAGGATTTGGCTCCGGAGGACATTTGGCAGCTTGACTTCTAGCTTCTAGATTAGCTTATTTCGACATCAAGTGCCCGGAATTTCCGACGATATCTCCGAGCCAGAACTAGTTGGAGCTCTAAGAAAAGGAGAAACAACACTAGTGCAACATTCTCTGGTGGTGGCGTTCTGAGTCCAACCAACCATATGTGATTTGACGACCCGGAATGGGGATTTTGTTAATGAGCTTTCGGATATCCCAACTATAGGGTATGAGTCGCTAGTGAAAGTTGGTGAGCGCCCCGGGG